AATACTGCAGAATTGTTTTAAATGGAAGAATGAAAGGTGGTGAATGACATAAGTATTGTAAAATACTGAAGGTGAGTAATGAGCAAATGGTGGTTCATTATATTGTTCAATTTGTGTATTTTAATCCAGAAAATATTAAAGTAATTATCCCTACATATATCTCAATATTATGACCATGTATATATGGAGTTGCCTTATGCACTAAAATACATGATAGAAAGTAAACCAGTAAAAGAGTCAAGATCTCGAGAAAAAGACAGATTTTATAAGCACAACACACTCAGTCACACACATATAATTAAAATGGACTTGAAAATCTAACTCAATGCCTTGATTTTTACAGCCATGGAAAATGAAATCTAATACATTCAGACTTTTATGTTGTTACCGCAGTCTTTCTAGTTTTCTTTTGTTTTTCTCTCTCCCTTTAGTCACTAAGTGGTGTCCAACTCTTGCAACCCCATGGACTGTGTAGCCTGCCAGGCTCCTCTGTCCATAGGATTCTCCAGGCAAGAATACTGGAGTGGGTTGCCATGTCCTTCTCCAGGGGGTCTTCCCGACCCAGGAATTGAACCCAGGTCTCCTGCATTGCAGGCAGATTCTTAACCAACTGAGCTATGAGGGAAGCCCATTTTGTTGTTACCAACCATGTATCCGAAAATGGGAAATATCAATACTAGCCTACAGGACGGGAACCCAGGGCCTGCTTACGCTCATGTCCAGTGGCCTGTGTTCCATCCTCTCCTGGAGAGGCCAGAGAGTCACACCCAGCACTGTGCTCCTTGTGAAGCGTCTAACCTTCTTTCTCTTCCTGCCTCACACCCCTGGGTTTCCTTGTTGGTCTGGCTGTTGTGCTGAGAGGGCTTTACCTTCAGTCCTGCCTCCTTCCTCACTTCTACATGCTTTTCCTGGGAAGAGCATCAACTGATAACGGTTTTTTCCATCTTTGATGCTAAAGGACCCCCTGGAGCCATATTTCTAGCCTGGACCTCTCTATGTATCCTGAATTCCAAAACAAAATAGCTTCATCTGCCGCAAAGAGGCCCAGCAGGCCCCCAAATGAAACTGACTGTGCGCCAGTTCTTTTCTGGTCACTGGCACCGCTCTTCGCATCAGTCACCCGGCTGCCTCACATCTCGTCACCAGACCCTGGGGATTCCTGTAAGGCCTCCCCCTTCCCTGCCCAGTTGCCTTAGTTCGGCGCTCATCCTCTCCTTTTTGGTCATTTTGCAAGCATCTCCTCCGTGATTAATGCTCCAGGGTTATCTTTCTAAATGCAAAGCTAATCACGTTACTTCCTTCCTTAAAACTCCGTGGGACGACGTCCCACGGTCTGAAGCTGAACTCCGTACCCCTTTGCGGTTCTCAAAGCTAGCGAGCTGGTCTCTCCACACATCTCTGCGTCAGGAATCACTCGGCACCAGCCCGGTCCAACTCGAGGAGCTGTTTCACACCTCAGGATCACTGGGCTTCTGACTTTCTTCTATCAGAAGACTCACTCACTCACTATTTGTAGTGCATTTTCCCTATGGATAAACCCTGGACAATATGCATGAGCCCAGGACAACATGGATAAGTAGAGGAGACTGACACTCTCCTAGCCTCAAGGAGCTTATAGCCTAGAACCAGAACAGATATTAAACACACACACAGCGGACGGTGGGCCCCGGGCTGGGAAGGGTTGACCTGCGTTTTGTTACAATATCCTTTCCTGCTCCTTTGTAAACTACAATGATGTAGAAGTGTACTTGTTGCTGTTTTGTTTGTCTATTCAGTTTGGCGAATCTGGGAGTTTAAAATGCCTTTTCCCCCATCACTGGGTGAAGAAATTTTGCCCTGCACTTCCTCTTTTTAGAATTCACAATCCCAGCAAAAACCTCATCAGATTTCAAAAGTCAGCATTCCTGAACACCCTTCCCCCACCCCCAGCACACCCCCTAAGGCTGAGCAGAACGGCCCAGTTCCTCCTCGTCCTCCAGACTCCAGCTGACATTAGCACCCCAACTCTTCCCCACCTGGCCCCGGCAGGACGGGCTGAGAGTCCCCAAGCAAAGAACAAGATCCTTCCACCATTCAGTTCCCCACCTACCGCATGCAGTGCAGGCCCATACTAAATGTTCAAACAATCAAAGGGCAAACATTCACTCTTTACAGGTAAATTACTTTGTACACAGAGCATAACTTTGCATATGCTTTTTGAATAACAGGGCTTGAGCAATACTGATAAAAACGTAGAGGCCCAGAAGTACCCCTTCTATTTATGGTTCTACAGAAATCCTAGTAGCTTGCATAAAAAGGCATGTATAGGGATGTCTTATTTCAACATATTTGACATAGTTGCTAAAAGATTAGAAGCAAATGTCAATGGCCATCAGCAGAGATCTGTGTAAACAAATTATGGCACATTCCTTCCGTGAAATATCCCTTTGCTATCACTAAGAAAGATACAATCCCACCCATATTGGCACTGAAAGATATCTATAAGTTATACGATGACAGCTATAGTGAAATCCTGCTATTTATTCTAAAAAAGAAAAAACCCATTTTCATAGCATAGGGGGGAAAGTCTCTAAGAAATTATCCTTATGCTTATCTTTGAGGGCATGGGACAAGAAGCAAGGAGGGAAAATCATCTTCTACTTAAAATGTCCTATCACTGAATTTGTTAGATTGCAGTTTAATATTTCTTAAATTTAAAGCACAGTCACCAAAGTAGAAAGGTACTTTTTACAGTAAAATATACGTTATTTGGAGACTTTCCAGGTGCTGCTAGTGATAAACAGCTTGCCTGCCAATGCAGGAGACTAAAGAGAGTCTGGTTCAATCCCTGGGTTGGGAAGAAATGTGAACCCACTCCAGTATTGTCTGGAGAATCCCAGGGACAGAGGAGCCCAGAGGGTTACAGTCCATGGGGTCTCAAGGAATTGGACACGACTGAAGCGACCTAGCACGCAGGCATACACATGATTTTACCTAGGAAACTGAGATTAGAACTGAGATTAAACTTTTAAATCCTGGGTTTTTGTAAGGTGAACTACTATTCAGGGCTAACTTCCTAGCACTCAATAGAGACACACAGCAGGCACTCCGTTAATACCTGAATGAATGAATGAATGAATGAATAATGAATGAATAAACTGCCAAACAATTACAAAACTGTTATGCCAAGGATACAAAATATCTGCTTCACAAACTCACAAAGGAAAAATCACTTGCAGAAGTAACAAACTGCTACCAACCTAAATACATTAAGATTTTTTTTTAAGGAAACTTTTAAAAAGCACACAAACTCTCCTCACACAAGCAATCTTCTAACTACCAAGTTTACCAAGACAAAGGTGCCTTCCAAATCAGATTAATTCACAACCTGGAGTCTGGCACATGGCTGGCCATAACACCAGGAAAAAAAGAAACACGAAAACTTGGGTTAAAAACACCGATCCTCTAATGGAAGAAAATCAATCATTCTGATTCACTTAAGTGCTTATTTGAGAAGGTAATTAACTTTTAGCTTGGACTACGGAGGCCAAGGGCTGTGACAAGCAGCCTTTTAATCTCCAAATCCTTAAAGAATGCCCTAAAGATGGAAGGCCTTCCATGACTGTTGCTGACTGGGGCTGACGGGACAGGTAAGACACCTGAAAGAAAGAAAGACAACCAAGGGTTCAGGCCTAAGGAAAAAGCCTAAACAGGTTCACATTCAAATTCATTCCCCCCCTCCCTTTCAAAATAAGATATGGTATATTTTTAATCAAATTCATAACTCATTTGTTAATGGCTCTCCCTTGGTTGAAGTCTCCCCATCCCCCTACCAAGGGAAGGGACTTTGAGTACTTGTTTGGGGGGTACATGGACCCAGCAGTCTACTAATTCTAGAAACCCCACATACTTCTTGGATTTCCTTTTTTCAATCACTACTCTTAATTCTAAAAATTCCTTTGAGAGGGGGATTTAACCCTCTTTATGAAAAAACAAGGGTCCAAATAAGCTGTGACCAAAACCCAACAATCTTTAGAGGAGACAGAGATTAAAATACCTCTCTGCCAAATTAATGCAACTGGAGTTTAGTAAGTGAATTAGAAGTGAATAAAATAAAAATCCTTCATAGTGCCCTACACAAGTCCCACAAAGCCTCCCAGCTCTCTAAATGGAAATAGAATTGTCCAAGGTCCACTCCAGGGTGAAGCATTTCTCCCTCTAGCAATGACTGCCTAGATGAAGATGTCTAAGTTCACTGGGAAATCAACTGCTCCCATACTAAATTCACCACCCAGAGGTTCCAGGCATGGTCCCTGCCCTCCCCGCCACTCCTCCACTAGTGAAAGCAGGGACCCTGTTTCTCATTCCTGAGACCGCAGCCCCCCTAGGTATAAAACAGGTGCTCAGTGAATACCTGACTTTGCCATTTCAAGGCACTGCAGACCTAGAAACAGCAAAAACAAAACTTTGTAAATCATCTAAAAGTAACACATGTGTTCACTTCGGCGAATAAATTCTACAGATGATTATTTTTCTTAATGAACACGTTTTCCATCTGAATGAATCCCTACGGAACTTGGAAACCAACAGCATCAGCCAAAAAGCCGCAAAAGCCACTTGTCTGGACGGAGCGGGCAGCTGAGCCAGAACCAGTGCAGCCCATCCCGGGCTCCAGGGGGCGGGCGGCGGGGAGAACGGCAAGCGCCGCGTCCGAGGACTCGACTCCCGGCGCTGCAGCCCGGAGGCCGGGAGGCCGGGGCTGGGAGGGGGAAGGGACCAAACCGGGGCGCCCCGGGAGCCCGCCGCCGCCGCCGCGCCAGGGAGAGGGCGCCCGTTTCCTTGACAACCGCGCCCGGGCGCAGCGGTCCGAATGGGCCGGGGGAGGGGAGGAGAGAGGAGGGAGGGAGCGAAGGAATCCCCCCCAACACACACACAGCCCCGCGCAGGGGCGGCGGCGGCCGGGGGCACCTCCCGGGCTCGGCAGCCGCAAGTCCGGCTCGCGGGGCCCTGTCCGGACCTACCGTGTACCCCCGCTCCAGGTCACTCTCCTCGTAGCGAAAGGACGGGATGTAGACCTCCATGGTCGCGCCAGCCGGCCGGCGGAGGGCGAGGAGGGGCGGGCTCACGGCCGCGGCCGCCGCCCCGCCCCTGGCCCGGCCGCCCCGCCTCCCTTCCCCGAGCCCGCGGGATCGGGAGACCGCGCGGCTCCGGCCCGGCTCCGCCGCCGCCCGCCGCTCCCAGGGCGGCCTGGGGCTGTCTCCGGGCGCTGGGTTCCAGGCCCGAAGGGCGGCGGAGATCAGCTGGGCCCGGAGGAGGCGGGGCCTGGAAACCTGTGAGTCTGCAGAAAAGGGGTGTGCGCGCCACCGCGCCGGGGACAGGGCCGCACCCCGGCGCTCCCTGCCCTGGAGGCTCGAGCAGGCACTGGGCTTGCAGTTTGCAAGACACCACCCGTAACAGATCGCAAGACAAGGAACAGAAATGCAGGGAGCTTCTGGATTTTGTTTTGGCTGGTTGAGTTTTCGCTTTAACTCTCGGTTGGCATGAACAGCTGCGAACCCTGCACTACTTTTACTAAGACTTTACTGTTCCCCTTCGATGCCAGGGTCAGCGTCTAATTCCGAGTTAGCCGTCGAACCACAGAATACAGGCTGTAATACAGAGCCCGAAAGTCGGCTGCTCACGGAGACCAGCATTCCGACTTCTTGCTCCAGTTCTAAAATGCTGTGTTTAGAGATTCTTAACTTTAAGAGAAAACAGAAGAAAAAGGAAAAAAAAAAAAAAAGGCAAGGGCTGGAATGTGCCCCTCGGGCCAGAAGCTAATTACCTGAAAGTACCTGAAAGATAAAAGTGCTCCAGTTGAGCACTGCGGTTATCAGGATACCTTTGCAAACCTCGAGTTTCTTAGGTTAGAGCAGGGAGCAGAATAGAAACCTGAAGGTGAGTTGTGCAGAGAGCTTCTTGGGCTGTAGGTCAATGGCTGCGCCTAGTTTGCTCTTGAGGCCAGGGGGACATTTCAGCTTGAAACTGCTCTTAAGTTTATGATGAGAACTTAGTCATGGAAAAGAGGACTAATCAGGCCTTTTGCTCTAAGAACTTATCTGATGTGGACCTTAACCTCAGGTGAAGCCCTCACCCACACACTTGCAGCTCCAGGTTGTGTCTGCCCCTCAGAACCCCAGAGGCTGGGCCCTGTGAAGACTAGCCCCCCTCTTTTCTTCCACTGGCCAACACCTCCAGATGGGACCAAATAGCTCTGTGGGCTCCACGCTGCCCCGGTTCAGAACCCAGCTTGTAGGTTCCCCTTGGCCTCTGTGACTGTATCACACTGTATTGAGACGTGTACTTACCTGCCTCACCCCCTAGAGTCTAGAGAAAGTATTTAAAAAAAAAAATTTTATCCCCTTCTTGGTATATTGCTAGACACATTTTTCTTCAAAATTTTTTATAAACACTTCAGTGCTCATCTTTACAGCAGTTACTATGTGGGATGTTATTACATCCCATGCCTCATTTAAGCTTCGTGTGAGGAAGTGTTATGTACAGTAGGACTTGAAAGGACTAAGATGTAGTATTCCTGTTTTTATTTTAAAATAATGGCTATTGATGACCTCAGACACCACCCCCAGAAACAACTTCAAGATTGGTTCAAACAGGTTATTAAGGTCTCAAAAGTGTAATGTAAATGAGGATTGTGTAATCATAAAATCCTTGCGAAATAGATTGCTGATCAAACTTTTAATATGACTTTTACATGATTCTTTCACAACAGCTTGTTAGTAGCCTGGCATATGTATCTGGCGGCATAGCGGTTCACCTATTTACCTTTGAATTTAAGAGTCAGAAATGTATGGGTCCAAGAAGATCTGACAAGTGGTCCAAATGAATCTTTTTTTTTTCTTTTTTGCTATATTCTACTACTAGCTGTGTATAATTTAATTTTGCCTTGCTGAAAATATATACAGGTTCTCAGGTGTGTTCTTGAGGGTCTAAAAGCTCAGCTGTTACTGTTATTTCAATTATTTCAGATGGCATAATTAAAGCTCAGAGAAAATAAATAACTATAAAATTGAAAGTGAAAGTCGCTCCGACTCTGCAAGCCTCTGGACCGTTGCCCGCCAGGCTCCTCTGTTCATGAAATTCTCCAGGAAGAATACTGGAGTGGCTAGCCATTCCTTTCTCCAGGGGATCTTCCCAGCCCAGGGATTGAACCCAGGTCTCCTGACCTGGGCGGATTCTTTACCAGCTGAGCCACCACGGAAGCCCAAGAATACTGGAGTGGGTGGCCTATCCCTTCTCCAGGGGAGCTTCCTGACTCAGGAAGTCTGGGAATTGAACTGGGGTCTCCTGCATTGCAGGTGGATTCTATACCAGCTGAGCTAATTATTAGTGTAGCTAATAATTAGAAGAGGTAAATTTCTAATCAAGTTCTGTGGGTAACCACTATAAAGGAAGGAAAAGAATAGCACTAAAGTAAGAGAACATGGCCAATGTATTATCCTGATATTCTTACCTATCTTCTCTACACTCTGACAGGTCAGCTAAATAGTATCTCCTCACAACATTAATAAAAATACACTGCAAATACTATACAAGAAGTTGTACACTTAATATCTGTTAATAAAGGCAAAACCCTTACATAAAAAAATGACTTCCCTGGTAGTCCAGTGGTTAGGGCTCTGTACTTCTACTGAAGGGGTGGGTGGATGGTAGGGAAGGAGAGGTGAAAAAGAGAGAAAAAAATTTTGTTGGAATCAGAGTATGAAATCCGTGTGCTGAACGAAGCAACAGACAAAGGATTAATCTCAAAAATATACAAGCAACTCCTCCAGCTCAACTCCAGAAAAATAAATGACCCAATCAAAAAATGGGCCAAAGAACTGAACAGACATTTCTCCAAGGAAGACATACAGATGGCTAACAAACACATGAAAAGATGCTCAACATCACTCATTATCAGAGAAATGCAAATCAAAACCACAATGAGGTACCATTACACACCAGTCAGGATGGCTGCTATCCAAAAGTCTACAAGCAATAAATGCTGGAGAGGGTGTGGAGAAAAGGGAACCCTCTTACACTGTTGGTGGGAATGCAAATTAGTACAGCCACTATGGAAAACAGTGTGGAGATTTCTTAAAAAGCTGGAAATAGAACTGCCATATGACCCAGCAATCCCACTTCTGGGCATACACACTGAGGAAACCAGATCTGAAAGAGACACGTGCACCCCAATGTTCATCGCAGCACTGTTTATAATAGCCAGGACATGGAAGCAACCTAGATGCCCATCAGCAGACGAATGGATGAGGAAGCTGTGGTACATATACACCATGGAATATTACTCAGCCATTAAAAAGAATTCATTTGAATCAGTTCTAATGAGATGGATGAAACTGGAGCCCATTATATAGAGCGAAGTAAGCCAGAAAGATAAAGAACATTACAGTATACTAACACATATATGTGGAATTTAGAAAGATGGTAACGATAACCCTATGTGCAAAACAGAAGAAGAGACTCCTATGTATAGAACAGACTTGTGGACTCTGGGAGAAGGCGAGGGTGGGATGTTTCAAGAGAACAGCATCGAAACACGTATATTATCTAGGGTGAAACAGTTCACCAGCCCAGGTTGGGTGCATGAGACAAGTGCTCGGGCCTGGTGCACTGGGAAGACCCAGAGGGATTGGGTGGAGAGGGAGGTGGGAGGGGGGACCGGGATGGGGAATACATGTGAAAAATAAATAAATAAATAAATAAATTTAATTAAAAAAAAAAGAAATCCGTGTGCTGAAAATACAACACCTAGTATTGGGTAGATAAATACTTCAGCAAATTTAATGATAAACAGCTTTAAATACCAACTTATAAGTCCTGACCAATATCTATCTAAAATACATTACTTATTCAACATTCTGTTATAAGACTAGGATATCATGACCAAACAAGATTTATTCCAGAAATATAAAGACAGTTAAACTTTAGAAAATCTGTTGATATATATCTCAACATTGTCAGATTAGAAAAGAACAAAGATGAATGAGTATGCCAGTAAATTCTGAAGCAACATTAATAAATCAGTACACCTCTTCCTAATAATTCTTAACAGCCTAGAAACAGCAAAAACAAAAACAAAAACAAAACCCCAAACCAGCTTTAACTTGATCAAAGTACCACAACCCTATAGCAAATATCCCATTAAACATCACAGGAGGAAGCATAAGAATAGTGTTAATATCTTTATCACAATTATAGTTTGACATTTTGCTGGAGGCACCACTCAATACAATAAGAAAAGCAAAATAAACAGGTACAGACACTGGATTGGAATATATAAAACTAAGGTTATTTGTAGATGAAACAATCTAAACACATAAAGCAGAATCAACTAAAAATTTGTTATTAAAAGTTTCATAAGGTGCCAGAGAGTAAATCATCACATAGGAGTCAATAGATTTCATAGACAATAACTTGCTTACACACACCAACATTAAACAATTCAAAAATAACAGGGTAAAACCAAACAATTTCATGAATAACAATATTAAAAACTTACACATTTCTAAAGATTAATTTAAGAAACATGCAAAATTTATATGAAGAAAACTAAAAAGCTATGCAAGGATACAAAATAAATTTTGAAAATAGTTGTATCACATTTCTGAATGAGAAGAATCAATATTTTGTTGCTTTATTTGGATAAGTTTTCACCAAAACAATTTACAGAGCTAATACAATCAAATAACCAACATGCTAAGCAAAGGGACAAGCTTGTTTGAAAAATCAATAGCCAGGGCAGGTTTGAACAAAAAAAGGAAAGAAAGAATGAGAGGATAAGTTAATTTGTAGGATATCAAAACATACTATAGAGTCATGGTATTTAAACCAGTATGATCCCAGAGAAAATTAGACAAATGACGGAGGGGAGCTAAAATTAGACACATGATGAAGGGAACCAAATAGCTCAGAAATAGATTCCTTAATATATAGGAACATAATATGAAACAACAATGGTATTTCAAAGCCATGAGGGTAAAAAAAAATAAGCTATTCAATAAATACCTGAGTGCTTATATAGTTTTAATAAATATTTAAATACTAAAGTTTTAGTAAATGTTAAAAATAGTATAAATAAATGGTGTAATGAATAGTTTATGAATAACTGGCTCTCCACCTGAAAGAAAAGTAAAATTTATTTTTTAAATGAATTCCACGTGCAGTAAAAAAGCTCTGTGGAAAAACAGAACTGTAAAACACCTCAAGGTAGACAAAACCTTCCTACAAAAACCAAAACAAAGACTTTGGGTGAAGGATTATACTATATAAGGCTAAATAAGGATTTTAAATTAATGTAAAACAAAGACCATTAAGTTAAAAAATGTTCAATAAACTGAAAAGATATTTGCAACATATATAACAAAGGATTAGTGTACATTTTATGTGTAAAGAATATATAATTTTTCTTAATAGCACTATAAAAAATGGACACAGTATGAACAGGGAATTTCCGGAAGAATGCAAGCAGACAAAAAAAAAAAACCCTGTATAAATTATCTATTATCAAGTAACAAATTATCCCCAAATTTTAGCTTTTTTTTTTTCATTTAATTTTATTAGTTGGAGGCTAATTACTTCACAACATTTCAGTGGGTTTTGTCATACATTGACATGAATCAGCCATGGAGTTACATATATTCCCCATCCCCATCCCCCCTCCCACCTCCCTCTCCACCCGATTCCTCTGGGTCTTCCCAGTGCACCAGGCCCGAGCACTTGTCTCATGCATCCCACCTGGGCTGGTGATCTGTTTCACTATAGATAATATACATGCTGTTCTTTCAAAACATCCCACCCTCGCCTTCTCCCACAGAGTCCAAAAGTCTGTTCTGTACATCTGTGTCTCTTTTTCTGTTTTGCATATAGGGTTATCGTTACCATCTTTCTAAATTCCATATATATGCATTAGTATACTGTATTGGTCTTTATCTTTCTGGCTTACTTCACTCTGTATAATGGGCTCCAGTTTCATCCATCTCATTAGAACTGATTCAAATGAATTCTTTTTAACGGCTGAGTAATATTCAATGGTGAAATTTTAGCTTCTTAAAGCAAGAGGTACTTATACAGTTTCTGTTGGTCCAGGAATCTGGGAGCAGTTTAAGATGCAGACAAGACATATACCCAGGCTACAGTCATCTCGAGAGTCTACCGGGCTGCAGGAGCCATTGACAAAGTAGTTCAGTCACGTGCCTTGAAAGTGGACGTTGATTGCTGGCAGCAGACGTCAGCTCCTGGTTACTGGGACCTCTCCCTAGAGACAGAGGCTTCCTCCAAAGCAAAAAACCTGAAAGAGCTCAGGGTGAAGACGACATCTACCCTAAGAATTTACACTCCATCATTTCTGCAATATCCTGCTGCTTACAAAGGTTAGCCTATTCAGTGTAGGAGGGACTATGTAATGGCTTGAGTCTCAGGTGGCAAGAATTAATCGGGGCTCTCATGGAGGTTAGCTGCCATGTAACCATGAGCAGAGAAAAGAATTCTATCATGTTATGGATTAAAATATTTCAGTACACTTACACCGTGAATATTATGTTGCACTTAAAAAAAAATTTGTTAGGATTTCTAGGTTAAGGTAATGAATTGAACATACATAATTAACTTCACTGCTTCTTCTAGCCCCAGTAAAACTAAAAGGAGTTTCTTCTTTAAAAACAAAGCAAAACAAAAAAACCCCATAAAGATAGGAAAAGCAAAAGAGAGAACAACAAAAAGATTTTTATAAACTAGAAAGCAGATGAATGAGAAGCAACCATTCTGGTAAACAAGAAAAAGCCAAATTTAAGCCAATGGTGAGAAAGTGGAAGATCAACCTGATTTACACAGGACAATACCCAAAAAGCTCAGTGAGAGGGGTAGAGAAGATACACCTCATCTAGAATGGGAGATAGGTTGACTAGAAGGAAGACTGAGTGAAAGTTGAGTGGGAAAATCCTTCAATCCCCTCTTCCACATTGGCATAATTCCAGAGGATATTTCCTGGAGAGAGAGAGTGAAAAGAGAGTCTTTACATTGGAAAATGACTTGCCCACTTGAGGGTATGGGAACTTTCATCAAAAAATAGTTGAGGCCTGGGGGCACATGATCATACACACGTTGAATGATGAGTATTAAAACCTCACAGAGGCTGGCAGCTATACCGTTACCTTCCACGCAAGAAAGTGGAAGATATTCTCTGGGAAGTCTGATAAGCCCAAGAGAAGAAAACTCGAGAAACACCAACATTGGAAATTCCCTATAAATTATACAGCCCAATGAGGTCACTCTTCAGTGATTTTCAGATTTGATAGGGGTGGCCAACATGGCAGAGTAGGAAGAACTTGAGCTTGGCTCCTCCCACAGGCACACATAAAACTAAGACTATTTACAAGCAATTATTGATGAGAATGATCTGAAGACTAGTGGAAAAGACCTTCCAGAGCTAAAAGTATACAGACAGACCCACGAGGAGACCTTGTAGAGGGGGCATAGTGTTGCTTCAGTCAAGACCTACCTTCCTGGAGTAGGCAACATCACAAATGGAAGGATCATCACAACTGGTGAGGTTCTGCCCTAGGAGTGAGGGGGGCAAGGCCCACACCGGGCTCCCCAGCCTGGAGGTCCTACACTGGGAAGACAGGTACTCAGAACATCTGGCTACAAAGGCCAGTGGGGCTTGTGTACAGGAGCCACAGGGCTGTGGGTAACACAGACCCTCCTTAAAGGGCACATGCAAGTTCTCACACGCTCCCAAGTCCCAGCACAGAGGTAACGATCTGAAAGGAGGCTTAGACACTCCTCCTGATCTTGGAGGACCTGGTACACAGTACCAGGAGGCAACTGGTACTCCACCTGAGAACACAGATACTGGCAGTAGCCATTTTGGGGAGCTCATTTCTGCCGCAGGGGCACTGATGCTGGCAAGCACCACTTCGGAATCCTCCCTCCCGCCTACCAACGACAGGGGCTCACCCAACCAGGAACAGGTCAACACCAGTCCTAAGCAGTCAGCCCTGCTGGGACACAGCCCTACCCATCAACAGGCTGGCGGCCTTCAATGAGGCAGGACCTGATAGCCAGCTAGACTGGGTGCGTAACATACAGTTTTTGTCAATTATACCTGAGTAAACCTGGAAAAACTTTTTTTTTTTTTAAGTTTGACAGAGCTTCCAATCAGCATCAGTTCCCACTGCTAATCTTGAGAAGATATCCAAAAATTAACAAATATCTGAGGAAAGCAGCTAACATGCAAGAGAGATAAAAACAGAAAATTAATTTTGAGGAAACAGAAACAAGGAGGGAAAAAGAAACTTTAAAAAACTCAACTATCACTAATATCCTCAGAGATGCAGGAAGACATTGCATCTGTGAAACAAGAAGAAGCTACTTAAATCCAATTAGAAAATGGGGGTAAACTCAGAGAGCAGAACAAAGTAACAGATGCAAAATAAGAAAATAAACATCATCAGTCGAGAACATCCAATATCCAAATAATGAGTCTTCCAGAAAGAGAAGAGAGAATATAGAAGGGAGGAAATCATGAGTGAAATAACTCAAGAAAATGCCCAGAACTGAATTTCGTGTTTCCAGATTGAAAGCACTCACACAGGATGAAAACAGATGTATACTACAGCAAATCTGTATGAGATTTAGAACACTGAAGGAAAAAAACCTTACATTCTGGAAAGGGGTAGGGGTGAAGGGACAATTCATATACAAAAGATCTGAAAACAGAATGGCTTTGGAATTCTCAACAGCAACACTGCAAGGTTAAAGACAAGGAAGCAATGTCTTCAGAATTCTAGAGAAAATGATTTCCAACATATGGCCACTTAAAATTATCAAGGATGATGGCAAAATAGTCTCAAAAGTAAGTTTCTATGCATCATTTTCAAGAACTGTATAGCTACCTAAATGAAGGAATAAATCAAGAGAGGAAAATGTGGGTTATAGAGAATAGGAAACCAGGGGGAGAAACAAAGGGAATCTTCAGGATCCTCTGGGCAGCAGGCAGAGAAAGGTAGCCAGTCCAGACCAGAGCAGTCTGACTCAAGAGGTGGACATCATGAGAGCTGTTTTCATAATACTTTCTGCCGTATCTTCTTTTTAACCAAAGAAACTACTTGAGAACATACTATTCCAACACATGGAAATAAATCACGAAGGAGGAAAGCATGAAACCCAGGATATAGGAAATGGGTCCCAGGAGAAAGATACAGGCAATTCCAAAGTTCGGGGCAAATCCAGATATACAACATGCTCAGAGAGCAGCAGTTCAGAGAAAACCGAAATCCTCAGGAGAGCAAGCCCTAGGGAAAGCAATTGGAGTGGTTGAATTACTTGATCCGAGTGGGCTTGTGGGAAATGTACTGTAGGAAGACATGGAAAAAACTGGCAATAGATTAAAAAAAAAAAGCACCAGCCAAATGGGTCGGGGGGGGGGAATCAAGGTATGTTTTAACTCAAGAAAAACAACAACAAAAAAACCCCAGTAAAGTCACTGATGAAAAGGAAAGTCTAAGAAACTGTCACAACCAAGAGTAACAGGAGGAGAAATGACAACTAAATGTAACGCGGTATCTTGCATGAAATCTTAGAAGAGAAAAAGGACATTAGGCAGAAACAAAAGCAATCTGAATAAACTATGGTCTCCAGTTAATAATGGGCTTCTCAGGTGGCTCAGGGGTAAAGAATCTGCCTGCCAATGCAAGAGATGCAGGAGACAGGTTCTATCCCTGGGTTGGGAAGGTTCCCTGGAGGAAATGTAACCCACTCCAGTATTCTTGCCTGGAAAATCCAATGGACTGAGGAGACTGGTGGGGTACAGACCATGGGGTCTGAGTTGGACATGACAGCATTCATACATGCTAGTTAATAGTAATATAACTATATTGGCTCATTAACTGTAACAAATGTACTACACTAACATGTTAATAATAAGAGAAGCAAGGTATACTATAACTGTATGTGTACTACCTTTTTAATATAATTCTAGTATGGTTCTGAAGTTTTTTTTAAGGAAGACAGTAATGATTAAATATACTAAAACGTTCAGCAGTGAATGATATTTGTAAGGCATTAAAAATGAAAATACTAATTTAACCAAAAACTGTAACTACACTGGAAGTGGGAGATGAGTGTATGAAGCAGGTGGATGGTAGCGTAAGAGAAAAACTCTCAGTTGCCATAAAAAGATGTGGATGATGTCTAAAATTGATGATTCAAATGACAGCAGGATATGCATTCTACTTAGAAATGTGAAGGTATTTAAACGGTGAAAGAAACAGCTTAGAAAGAGGTTATCTTTGAGGAAAAGAACCAGGGAAATCGTGGTTTGTGGGGCAGAGAACCAGTGTTTTATATTTCTGATGCTAGTTTTCAGACTATGCGCATGGAGTGATTTGATGAGATAGACAACTTAAAAATCAAAAGACTAAAGTCAACATGCAAAAAGCTTTCAATACTTTAGCAAACCAAAACGTACAGTTGAAGAACCCACAGAAATAACCTTGGTCGCACTATGAGCTCTATGCAGCTCATATTGAAGTTATTCTTTTAAAAAGGTGGCAATACACTAATTAATGTCACTTCTTAAATGCAGGTTTCCTCCTTTGACTGCTTTCTCGACTCCTGTTTCCTCTTACCCAGAAAATTATTCTTTCACCTCATCATAGCTGCATTCCCCAATCTGTGCCTGTCACCTCACTTACCTTCATCTTTTTGGTCTTTTAAATCATTCAAAATCCCTCCCCCCTTGGCTTTCTTACATATACCACCAATCCCTAATCTTGAATAAATCAAACTTTGTCTTGCTTTCTCATGGCTGGAAAAAAAATGGATACTTTGGTTGACTTCATTTTAAATTCATGATTTCCAAACTTATTTGAAAGTGGGTACTCATCCACAGCTCTGACTCTTCTCAATTTGTTTTCTAGACATCTACCACTTTCCTATGGCCCCCCATTTCCTTTGGCTTTTCTGCTGGTATTCCCTGATGATGGTTTAATTTCCTTTTTCACTGAAAAAATAAAAGCATTCAGGCATTATTTCCAAATAATGGAAATGTCTTCTTTCCCTTCCTTTTGTCCAGAGGAAGAAACTCCCTTTTTTCCTGAGGCTCTTTGCACTTCCCTGACTTATTCACCTCCACTCTTCCCTTAGATGTTACTTGTATGTGATGTTTTGTCCTCAGCAGGCTGAGTCACATTTTATTTGTTCTCTGAGAAGGCATTCATTAATAATCATGGTTTCAAGGAACAGAGCATGTTCACATTCTAACCTGATGACAGAACATCTAGTCCTGACTTATGTTTTCATGTATTTTCATCTTGGATGCCCAAAGGTACATCAAAAACATGGTGGATGGGGTGGTGGGTGGGCGAGGGATGGATTGGGAGCTTGAGGTTAGCAGATGCAAACTATTACATGCAGAATGGATAAACACAGCCCTACTGTATGTACAGCACAGGGAACTATATCAATATCCTGTGATAAACTATGATGGAAAACAATATACCATGCCCAGAACTCTCTCATACTATCTCAGTTATTCAAAGCAGAAGTATCCTAAGTCATCAAAGCCAGAAATCAGGGGATCATTCTAGACAACCTTCTTGTTCTTCCCTGATACCAATCCATTACTCCAGTGCCTGACGCAGCAGAGACTGAACAAATACTCCACGAGTGAATGAATGAGTGATGCTGGCCTCTTCTTACCACCCCCGCCCCTCCCTTTCAGTTACCACTGCAGTGTCTGCCCTCACCATACAGTTGGCTGTGTGATTACTGTTCCATCAATTGCTGTCAAGATCTTTTTATTCTCCACTGTTTTCTCCATTGATTACTACTTCCCTTAGTCTACAACACAATCAAGGTTCTTCTATGTTTCTGTGTGGAAACAAACTTTCCCTAAGCAGTCGCCCCATTTTTCTCTCACCCTTCTTTCATTTGTCCCCAAGCTTCTTTAAAAGTCTCTGGTTTCCTGACAAGACTCATTTAACTACAGCATCTTTGTAGTGGGGGTAGATCTAAGCTTTTGCTGGCTGGAAAAAAAAAAAAAAAAAAGGATTTTGTCTGCAAGCCTTCTTCCCCTCCATCCCTGATCCTCAGCCTCAGGGCTCTAAGAGCAGATCTTAGGGACAGACTTTTCTGAGAAGGACTCTTGGGTAAGTCCATTTAGATCCTAGTCAAGTGTACACCTGTTGTTTTAAAGAAGCAGTAAAGACTGGTAAAATAATCAAAATGCAGGTCATTTTGTTCAGACTGAGATTAAATATTCGGTAAACATTTATTGGATGCATAACAGCTAATATTTATTAAGTACATGTTATTGCTGAGAAAGTCACATCAATTATCTTAAATCCCCTGAAAGAGCACCTAAACAGGTACTAATTACTTTCCAAATAAGGAAACTTTTACAAATAAGGAAACCTTAAGTTTTAGAGAAAAATAACTTTCTCTAAGTCAATGGTGTAGATTCTTGAGCCAGGGTTCAGTCAGGCTGGATGCATAATTGTATATTTCATCACCCCATTACACTCCCTTGATTGTACCATACTGGGTTCTAGAAGAAATAACAAGAACATAGTCGTTCCTCAAGAAGCATAGAGACTACTCAAAGTAGAAAGAAGGTTATAATGCAAGGTAAACATCAGTAAACACAATCTGAAAGGTGCAAAATGTTACCAAAGTCCTGCTAGGAGATCCAGAAGTTCCTTGCTTCCTTCTAGTTAGAAGACTAAAAAGGATATATGGAGGATGTGGACTTCATAAAAGACTGAATAGGATTTAATGAGTTGCTGGTAAAGAGGAAAAAGTTAATTTAGACAAGGCAACACCAACAGCACTGACCCATAAAAGGATAGACAGGGGCATCATTTGATTAAAGCAAAAGGTGGGTGAAGGCATGGAGTAAGACCAAGACAGGAAAAGTGGTTTGAAACCAGGTTCTGGATAATTTGGACTTTATCAAGTTCACAAGATCTTGTGAGGAGAAGGAGAAGAAATGAGAAGGGAACAGATTTTACAAATAGAATCAACTCAAATTGGTCTTGGCAAAAAAATCTCAGCTATGTAAATGAAAACATAAGCATTTTGTGTCTCAGTTGCAAGAAGATAAGAAGCACTTTAACTGAAATTTAGCAGCAAGGGCTGGTTAAAGTCTCCTCTCATGCATGCACATGCACATTCATGTACACACACAAGTCCACACACACTTATACACACATATACTGAGAACCACCTGAAATAAAGACCTAGGAAATAAATATAGGTTAAAATCAAGATAACTCAAGACTTGATAATGGAAGCAATAAGAAAGCAATTTATTGTTCAGTTTTGTTAGATTCTGTCTGATTTGAGTTTTATTAAACAGTTACACATATAAATTTAAAATAGAACTTTTTTCCTCAAAGCAGTCCCTTAAATCAGTTTAATCCCATTAACTGGTGTTAATAAATTAAAAAAAAAAATTTCTGTGTATTAACAAGCGGGCAGCTTCACCTAAATTGTCTTTAGTTACAAAGTTTCCATTTGACTCAGTGTATTAAGAAAAATACTTAAAATTATTCAATTTCTTGAGAATTAAAGTATGTGACAGAGGAAGGAAGATGAGGATTTTTAATATCTTTATGTGCATTAAAGGATCAGATAGCAAGCCACAACTTTCCTGTTTTGTACCATCTTCTATTCTTAGCCACTTCTGAAGTAACAGTTTGAAGAAATAAATTCTCTGTATACCAAAGGACTATCTAGAATTCTATGTTAATGATTAGAAGAAGAATCGCTAATGTATCTTTTCATACATTTTCAAGGAAGAATGTTTCAACAGATTTAAGAAAAATCAGTTCAATTATAATGATTTAAGATTCCGGGTTTGCTTATCTGTAAAATAAGGAAGTTGTACTAGAGTCTCTAATTTTCCATCAGGAAATAAAGTGCTACCATTTGTTGAATGTTACGAGTGCTCACTACTTGCAAAGTACTGTGCCGCAAAGGCTTATACCTGAATTGAATTAAACCTTTTGAGAGCACCACCACCAAGTCCCTTTTCTTTAGCTTTTAACACTTCACTGGATTTGGAGTGGTAAACAAAAAAATCGCTGTTGGATGTAACTCTCCTTTTCCAGTTCCATGCAATTATCTAAATCTGAACTGTCCAGAGTCACAGCCACTAGCCACACGTGACAACCGATCACTTAACATGTGGCTAGTCTGACTGCATATACAAAGTGCGAAATACACAGGGGATATTGAACACTTAGTACAAAAAACAGAATGTGAAACATCACAGTAATTTTGAATATACTGGATTGCATGCTAAAGTATTTCAGAGCTACTCAGTTAAAAATTACCTTTACCTGTTTCATTCACTCTTTAAAATACGGGTATAGAAAACTGAGAATCATGTATGTGGCCCACAGTGTATTCCTACTGGTCTGTGACACTAAGGACCTCGTCACAGATCACCGTGCCCTCTCCTCACGGCCGTGACTACAAAGGTGAGGAGTCAACAATTTTGATACCACTCCTGTCGTAATCTCCCTCTTCTTGCTATTTCTGTGTCTGGCCAATCATTTATCTTCATTATTATTGAAACCATACCCTTCACTGTGAGGATTAGAAATGAAAGTTGTTTGATTCTGGATTTTATTCTTTTTTTCAATACTTTGAAACAGATTGTATCACAGATATGGTAACATACACATTTCCTGCCAGTGGATATGGAAATGTGTCCAAAGATCTCAAGTCAGTGACTGCACTTTCTTTTCACAGCTGTTGTCTTTCCTCCTATCAGCAACCTTCCTTCCTCTAAAACAGGATGACCTCTGCTCCTTCTATCTGTAGTCCTGAGTCTTGTTAGTCACATGACTGCCCATGCAGGGAGCCGTAACAAGAAAGTGAAGTAGACATTTGGCTTTATAACTAGTCATGTGCTACAGGACAGAAAAACAAAAATCTCTATAACTTCCTTAGAAGTTATTCAAGAAGTAATTTTTTTAAAGGACTCTAATCTTCCATTTGTACTCATCTGATTTCCTTCCTTTAAAGAAACCTGACTTGTTGAGACTTATTTTATATTTAAAAGCCACTTATGGAACAACCTACACAAGAAATTGGTAAAACTTTGCTAAATCGTAGCCAACAATGTAACAAGGGTATGAGATTAATATAAATATATATATGTATGTATAAAAAAGAAGATGGATAGTTGGAATTACTCATCAAAAATACAATTAAAAAAACTTACCTTACATTTTAGAAATTTTTATACACATTTATTTTGCTTTAGCCTTGCTTTTACTTTATTAATAGAAGGTGATTTTGATTAGAATTTGACTCTCTAATAGAATAATATTTATGCTAAAGCTTGGTAAACAACATACTTTAAAGTAGAAAGGCACTTTAGGAATCAGTTTGATACCCTTGTTTTATAGATGGGTCACACAGTTACCGAGTGATAAAGACTGAACACAAGTATGCTGACTCCAAGTTCAGTTTGTTCTGCTGTATTATGCTGCCTTAGTCCTTCTTTAACTTTTATCTGGTTAAAAAATAAAATTTAAATGTGTATGCTTATAACTAAAAGATTATATGAACTGTACTATTAAGGCTCTTGCTGTTCTATTTACTTGGAATGAAAGTATTTTAGTAAGAGGAATAAGAGATGTGAAGACTGATGGCTAAAGATGAATGTAGGGCTGAAGAAATTAAATCCTGTCTCAGAGGCTCACATAATTTATTTGAAATTTCCAATACTCTATCTTTTAATAAAAAGATTGTTAACGGGAATGAAATCTGGAATAGACTCAGGTCTGTTACTCTCTTCAGCTTAAGTCTGAAAATATTTATTATTTTATTTGGTGGTCCTGAAGGTTGTTATAAATATATCACAGCAGAACTGAAGATTTCTGCTTGAATAACTAAGTTTCTATCCTATGTGTAAACTGAATCTTCGGAAGTAACAAAACTATATACCGAATACTAAAACATCATTATAGTGAAACTGTTCCCAGGAAGCCTGTATTTTGCTCAATATTAACAAGACAACAAGGTAGGGGATCTGATATATATTAATATGAATTACTCATTTCTTAAAAGTATCTCAGTCACCTCCAAGAGAAGCAACAGAAGACTGTACTATTTCCGATTCAGTTTCTCCTTAAGACAGCAAACATTATTTTGCATCGTCCAGGATTTTTTCTTTTCTGTTCAACTCATCAAGTCTTTATTATTAATCTATAAGTGTCAGGTATTCTTCTAGGTTCTAGGATTATAAATATGAACAATACCTACAGGAGGCTAAAAATTTCAACTAAAATAAGTGGAAGCAAACATAGCCTGAGGGTACTCTGCTATGTTAACTGTGTTCAGTAAGCTGTTAGAAAAGACTCAGTTACACGTACATCTTACCCTTCCAGAAGGGAGATACAATTGCTAAGCCTGAGGAGAGGAGCATCTTTAAGAAAAGCCTGATGCTAGTCACAACTTAAATTTTCATCAACATTAAGGATTACATAACTGCCATGTAAACATGATACAGAAATAGGTGAGATGGCTGCCAAAGACAAATTTCACTTTACTTCAAATTTTCTTTGCACTATCACTGGTTGTTCATCAAATAACTGGGTATTTTAGCACAGCGCTTTTCTCTGTCAATGATGACCACAGATGATCTTTTAGCTTAAAACAAACAAAAAAGGCAAGGTAAGGAATAAATTAAATATATGCAAAGTCTTAGACTTTGAAGGTAACAGAAGATGAGCAAAATCCATAGGACCTGTAACGGAAACAGATAAATATTTTTTAAGTTGTTAAATTGGGCACTTATAATAGGAAAGGATAAAAAACAAGCAAAGACAACTATTACTTCTTTACTCAAGACAAAAGCATTCCCCAAAGTTGAACCAAGAGATAAATGTTCTTTGGTTTATGATGATTTTGCAAAAACAAAACTTAATTAACCTTCATTTACTGACTTAGTAATGAAAGAGTTCAGCTTTTTTGGTCAATTAAAAAATTAATGATCATAGCATCACCTAAATACATCTAAAAGAAAAAGCTTCTTTGTATTAAAATGCTTTCAAAAGATCTCTAATATGTTTACATACCCAAATAATTTGTTACTAATACTTCACAAGGAATATCATTTTATTACTGTAATCACAAAATCATAATTTCTGTACAGGAATGTATAAGTGAACATTAATCAATGCATTGATAATTCACTTCATAAAGAGGGTGAACACACTACAGAACATACTGTAAAGAAAAAATATTGTAAAATTTTCTGGCCTCGCAGCGCACTTTTTAGTGCAAGTATTTAAGACACAATAGTGTTCAATTCAGCAAAGTATTGCAGAATGTCATGCCACAGTCCACTTAATTCAAAGAGGGTCAGGACATGCAGCTTGTAATAAAATGTCAGAATATATATTTATAAAAAACCACATGTAATTCATAAAATATATAGTGGTTTATTTAGATGGTTTTTAATGATTTCACTATGGAATTCTGCATAACTGGAACAAGCATCCAAGATCTTCTTAACAGGAATAATCTTCTTGCTAGGCAATGGCTTTGGCCTCAGGTAGGAATGCCTCCCAGTATTTTATCAGCTGTGGATGATAATAAAAGATATTCTTATAACCTGTCATATATAATATACTCCATGAAGCATTGAAAAAAATCTAGCTAACAATAAATAACATTTACTAAAGTCTGATTCTTAAAGGGACCATCTAAATTCCCTTAAACAGCTTGTCAATGTAATTAGTTTTTAATTATTTAAAAATATTAACTATTCATGGTTGATTTCAATTTTTGTAATAAAAAAACAATTTAAAAAAATACCTAAAAATTTAAGATTAATTTATGCAAAATTGTATATATAAAAAGTTTTGCTAGTGTAAACTATATAAGATTACCTTAAATAATAAAACTGCAATGAGCTTTTCCATATAAAGTGATAACATCTCCTAATTCAGAGGATATTCACATTTTATGCTATTGCCAGCCAAAAAGAATGATTAAAAAAAGAAGGAAGAAAAGAAAACATCCAAGCAAGACAGGGAAAAAGAGAGACTAAAGAATTATTAGCTGTCGGTCTTTCCTGGATAGTCCAGAAAATAGTACAGATTGACATAAAAATTGAAGATACAATGTCATCACCTAATTTAAAAATTTAATCTATTATATAGTTTTAAAAGAACTGGGGGAAGAAATCCTTCTGTTCAAGACATTAAGTAATTTGATATATTACTCAAAGTTACATTAAAATACACAGGGGAAAAAACCTCTATTATCTTGTTACAGACTATACTATAATGAAAACTCATGGTTTTCCCTGTTTAAGGAGACAAATGCCACTTGTGGTATACAATCAACATGAAACCCACACAAACTAAAGCAAAAATCAAACCAATATTTTTTTAAAAACCTTCAAAACTTAGTTTTTAGTTTAAGTTCTAGCTGGTATGAAAGAGAACTTACTATAAGAATGTATTTAAACAGCGGTGATCAATAGAAAAATAAAACTGGGAAGACAGAGAAAAAAGGAAAAATAGTACAGCATGTTTCTCAAAAGTCTAAAATTGAGAAACCCATCTCTCTCCTAGGGGTTAGGAGTAGAGGCAAAAAGAACTTCAAAGTGAAAGTGTTAAGTTGCTCAGTCATGTCCCATTCTTTGTGACCCCATGGTCTGTCCATGGAATTCTCCACGCAACAATATTGGAGTGGACTGCCATTTCCTTCTCCAGGGGATCTTCCTGACTCAGGAATCGAACCTGGATCTCCTGCAATGCAGACTGTTTACTACCTGAGCTACCAGGGAACCCCAAAAAGGACTGGAGGATTTCCAGTTACTTTCACTATACCATTTTATTTTCCATTTGCTAGCTTTAGTTTTTTCTACTCCATTTGTTGCTTCTCAAGTTTAAAAGTTCGTTTCAGTAGTTATCATCTTTAAAATAAAAAAGTATATCAAAAGCAAGTTCTAGAGGTCTGTAAGTTATAAAAAAAAAACAAACTACCTTACCTGTTGTTGTGTTTGTACTAATGATTCTAAGTACTTGATAATAACAGTTTTAAAATCTTTCACTCGTTCTTTCTGTTAAAATACAATAAATGGGGGGGGAAGCTCCATTAGTACAAAACTAAATTTGATTTTACCACAGTATCACAGCAAAATGTGACCACATTAAGAAAAGTGTAAAATTATTATACTTGCCTCAAATCTTCCCACTTCTTTTCGAATTGTTTTAGAGATCTGTTCAAAATCTCTTTCTCCTTGTTGTACTTTTGCCTCCCACTGACAAAAACAAAAGGTACAAATTTTTAAATCTTGCCTGGGAAGAATCATTAGAACTAGCTGTCACAACCACTCATTTAATTTATATAACACAATGCCTAAAAATCCTGAAAGCTCACCATTGGCAAGACCCAGTTTGGCATCACTCAAACTTGTATCTAACTTTACAGTAGTGGAAGTGCATTATCAGCTTAATTTCCATTAATATTTTACTGTCAGATATACTCAAGATCAGGATTTATAGTGCTTAATGAATTACAATCTCCATATCTTAATTTAGATGAAAAAGATTTTGAATATAAACTTCACCATCAAATAATTCAGCAGATAAGAGTATAATCCTCTCATTTCTTTATACAACTGTAAATTATTTCAAAATATATCAATAATATTTGCCTAATTTCAAGAAGACATGGTCATCACAATTTATATGCCATGGAAATCATTAGAAAAATTAATGTGACATACATTTAGGAAACATTTTTGTGATGGTGTAATGTCCAGATTTAAAAAAAAAAAATTATGCAATTATGGTCTAGTGAAGAGCTATTAGTAAACATTAAACTCATTACAGAAACAATGAACGCTGTGATCAGTGACCAGTGGAACAGCTAGAAATAAAAGAAATGAAGAGTTAAGCGATGGAAGGCTCCTCCCCACTATGTGACCAAATGGGCACGCGCTCCGAGGAGCAGGCCCCTCGACTGTAAGTGAAATAAAGGTTGTCATACCTCTTCAATTTCCTTATTGAAGCATGGCAAGAGAAGTGTACACATTGTAATAAACTCACACAGATTTGCTAGCAGACCATATATAGTACATATATATGGGGGGTAATACACAAGTCACTCTCTGAAATCAAAGCATCTCAAAAGAAAGGTTAATTTAAATGCTTTCCCTGTATGCTTCTTTATCTGTTCCATAATTATGTGAAAGTAACAAAAGCTGCTGGAGATTTTTACGATGATCAAAACGCTAAAGTAATTCTAAAACAGTTTACAAATTATGAAAAAAATTGCTAGGTGTAGCATGGTTCAGAAAAAAATTTATGAAAAATTATGCATATATGAATGACTTATGGAAAACTTGGGTAAAAGATAAATAAAGCATATTAATCACCTCTCTTATTTCATTTTTAGCTTGCTGTATTTTATCTGGTTTGTTAGCAACCATCATTTTTGCTTCAGTTTCACGTTTTTTGAGCAAAGTAATTTGGGCATCTTCCCATTTCTGCCAGCATTTCACTCGATGGTCAAACACACCCTATAAATGAATGACATAGTATTATTAACTGGGAGCTAACAGTGAAATTCTTTCAAAATACCAGAAGTGCTACATACTGAAAACAATAAAACCAAGTATTTATATGCCATTCTTTATACTAAGATACTGAAAATAAACATGCTATTATCAAAGGAAGTAGATTCCATACTCATTTACATAAAAATAAAAACCCACCCATAACTGGATGAAATATACAAAATTCATTTCACTAGACTGGAGGGTTTAAAATGTGGCCTATGACAAGGTTTCTAACAGAGTTTTATGCCTTGAAGAAAGACTTTTTAATAGGAAAATGCTGGTATCATATCTACAATTGAAAGTTTTCCTACTAAAATATCAAAAGCAGATGGAAATATCAAAAGATTTGGAAATATGTCAGAAAATTGAAAATAGTAAATTGGAAAAGCTGTAAGATAACAAAGTAAAGTAAAAATGTAGTGGAAGAGATTATCAATAGCAAATAAAAGAAAAGCCAAACAATTTAAAGGTATAACAAAATGGGGGATGGGGGAAAGAGAGAGAGTCCTACACAAGATGAAAAGGGCAAATGGATGTATGTATCTAGTATGCAGAACCTAATGAAGAAATAGACAAAAAAAAAAAAAAAAAACAGAAAAATCCAACCCACTCCATGACTTCTTTCAAGGGGTTTGGCAGAGCAAGAACAAGTTAATAGAAATAAGACAGTTACTAGAAATTTCTTTAGAAAAACAAAAAACTGATGGACAGGATGGAATACAACAGTAATCCCTTTTCTAACTTGATGTTGAGGATATATATATATTTTTTAGTATTTATTAATTGAATAAATGAATCAAGCATTAATAGGTGAAACAGTTATTTTCATTTATTCCAAGTAAAGTGTTCTGGATCAAGAAACAGTAAATTAATAAATGTTCTTATAAGAACTTGATGAAGAAGCAAGCACCTATATTGTGTATTTTCAAAATGTAGGCTTTGGAAAAAATCAAATTTGGATTCGAATACTAGTTTTGTTGCTTAAAACTTTGGGTAAATTCCCAAAATACCCAAAAAATTGGGTAAATTACCCAAAGTCAATTCATTTAATTTCTATAATCCACAGTTCTCTCATATATAAAAGACGAAAATGAGATCTAGATTTATGCGCTAGAAATAAACTGAAAAAAGTATATAGCATGCACAGTGACTTAACCTACCAGATGTTTAATAATTAGAAGATACTATTATGGCTTACATATAAGTAACACACACACACAAATGTAGTTGATTAACTAGATTTCTACTAGAAGTGCACATAATAACAACTTAATAGGCAAAAAAAAAAAATTGGACTGTATTTAGAAAAATACTAGTAATGTATTTGTATATTATTAAAATGTGGGCAATAATATTAAAAACTCCAAGTCAACAGAGAGTTCTTAAAGACCATACACATTTTAAGTAACCAGGACAAGAGACATCCTAGACAAACTGGTAGGTTAAAAACTATCTATAGGCACTGAAATCCATTTTACTAGATTTGTCATCTCATATCATTTTTCTTCTCTTAGTAGTGAGTCTTAGTGTCCTCTTTGCTTTTCTTGTTTAAAAGACCATATTCACCTTAAAACATTTCTCATTATGAATTAATTTTGCTTCAGTCAAATTAAAGCGGGCCCAAATCACAAAAGTAACAAATCTAACACAGATACATTCCAAAAGTCACTATCATTTAAAAGAAGCAATCCCTGTGCCTCACCATATACACAAATTTTAAAAGTAATTTACAATTTTAAGGCCTAGTTTTCCTTTAAAGGGACAGAGCCGTATCAGCTCTTTATTTTTAAATTCCTCTGTTCAATAACTAAATTTATTATTTAAAATATTTACCAATACAGGGCAGAAGCGATCTAAAAAGCCCTTTAATTTCAATATTTGCTCAAGTTCTTAATATATATCAACGGGCCTTTTCAATGGAAACTAATTTGGTCTCTGCCCAGGATATTTCATAATATTCCAGAATCATCACATGTTTACTATGGTACAGATACAGGAACCATGATAAAGGCAAAATGATGAAAGTCTGGTTATTTTGGGAAAAAAATTAATCTTAACTCCACAAAAATTAACTTTTTCTTCATTTGTCTTTCCAACCTTGTAACACTAGAATATAAAGAGAGAATCAGAACCACACTTAATCTTCTAAAAATGTGATCTTAAAAATCAAATTATTGCTGAGGTTTGACAGAAAACAACAAAATTCTGTAAAGCAATTATCCTTCAATAAAAAATAAAAATATATTAAAAAAATCAAATTAGAACCTAATGTATGCCTCTGCATGGCAAGATACTAATCCACTCTGGTACAACCAGTTTCATCTGTAAGAGGGAAACATTTAGACTGGTGATTCACTTTAGACTCCACATCTGTGGTGATTTTATGGTACCTATCTGTATGCAAGCTAGTCTAAGTTGGATAAGGTTGCAGTTGTGAAGCAGTTTTCCTAGCCAACCAGGAAATTTTACGCTACAATTTTAATTTTTTCCCATTTTAATTTAATTAATACCATATTCCAATTCAGTGAATCCAAAAGTATGTGGCCCAGATTCCTGGAGTCCTGAAAGAATGCTGATTATATAGACAAACAATGAAGATGCTAAACTCCTTGGGGAATCCACATATTGGCTTTTTAAAAAATTACATTTTATATATTTCATACATTTACTTTCAGAGTAAGAATTCCTTATAAAGAATTCTAGTGCTGAAAACACTGAAAACTACTACCTCAATTCCTGACCCTACTCTAGAGGTTCATAGGAAGCCAACACTTGAGAATGTATGTAACGAGTTTACCATTTAATACATGTCAGTTAACAGTACTACCCAAAATGTGGAGTCCCAGATGTCAGAGGCTGTACAAAAGAGGAAAACAGGAATTTTCTGGCTTCAAGGGCAGAACTGGAGAGTATTTTGAGCAAGTGAACTTTATCTCTTTCTTTAAGACCCCAATTTCTCCTGTTTTCAGCACAGTCACTTTAATTTTAAGCTAGTTCTCAAAGTACTTTAGCTTCAAAATTACCATCATTTTGAAAAATACTCTCAATACAGATAAAACAAAGGGCTAAGTAGTATTAAACAGCTACTAGAAATCAGTAAGACAAAAAATTAAAAGAAAACTGGGCAAATGACACAAACAGTTCATAGAAAAAAGAAATGCAAAAAGGCTTACTGTTTGTAAAAGTGCTTACATTCACAATAACTAAAGAAATTAAAACTTATACCTCTTTAGAGAGTAACATGGCAGTGATCATGGACATTTAAAATTCATATATCCACTGGTCAAGTAATTCTACTTCTAGGGATTTTATGCCCAAAGAGTTATTATCAAAATACTTAATATTAGACTGATCAAATAATTCAAGGTCTATCTATATGCTAAATGACAGAATATGATTAACCATTTAAAAGATTAGAAAATATATTTACATAAACTGATAAACAGATCTCTTAGAAATGGAGTGGGTGAAAAAAGCAGGCAAAGAACTGTGCATATAGTATGCTCCTTTTTGAAGGAAGAGATAAATGGAGAGAAAAAGGTGGTTGAGAAAAATAGATAGAAGGAAAAAAAAAAGAGAATCAGTTTCATATACATGCATGGCTAATTCTGTAAAGACACCTCACAGTATTTGACTGAGTGAAGAGAGATGAGAGGTCTTAGGTAGAAAAGAAATTTACCTTTTAGGGCTGCTAGAATTATTTTATGCATGTATTACTTATTGAAATACAAATGAATTAGTTTAAATTTAAAAACAAACAAAAGATAAAGACCATAAAAATTACCAAAAAAATTATGTCATTCATAATTTCTCAACTCCTTTATGAAACTGAGTTGGGCTAGGTATCAGTAGAAAATCAATCTGAAACAGCTTAATGCATCTTAACGTATAACTTGACCACAGACCATACTAATTTAGTATTTTCCAAAGGGTGTTCCATATATGTGAAAGGACATTAAGTGGAAAAGAATTCCTATTCATAAGAATTTGGAAGCCTCCGGATTAAACAAAGTTAAATGTCTATTTCATTTTTTACTACTAGACAGTCCTGAGCTTTTTAAATGTACACTGAATCCACAAGACAGGGATATCACAAACATTATCTCAAAGACTTAGTTGACTGTGGTACATATTTCAGTGTAAGCGTTCTGTAGGAAACATTCTGGGATGTGAATATAACTGTAACTTCATGAGGTGCAAAAATGCAGTAAGAAGGTAGAGGCAGTGTGAGAAAAGCTGTTTTTGAGATGAGCATCCATCACACAGACGAACACTGAGAGGGAGTCTTCTCCTAGGTTAGCTCTTGTCAACATGTACGACCTCTCATAATAGACAGTGCCAAGTGTCCCTTTTTGAACCCACAGGTTTTTTCTGGAGGTGTTATTCTTTTTAACAACTCTCATGCTAGTGGGAGTTTTGGAATGAGGTGAGGGTAGGTGGCAGAGAAACAAGAACCATTATCTATAAACTGGACTTCTGTGTACCACAAGTTGCCTAGTTAAAATGAAGTATACTCTGATAACTGTCTATATTAACATCTTTAAATAACTGAAAAGAAAAATTAACCACCAGGAATATAAAGAGTGACATCTAAGAGTAAATACAAACAAAATTGGTAATTTAGTGAAACCTAAACCTAAGAAGGAGCCTCTATTAAGTGCTAAGAACCCTCTAGCAGTAACTGTCATTAGCCTGAGAACAGAATCATCTAAAAGATGAAATGCATCAATGTTCTGATTATAGATGAATACCAATTTGATCAGACTTAAGATGAAAAAAATTTGTGTAAGAAAGCAAGGAACAAGGTTACATTAACTTTCTAGATGTTTGAATTCAAAGTAAACTTTCAGTTCCCCTTATTCCATGATAACTAATGTTCATAACAATACTTCAAAGACACCATCAGATCTTAAAAAGTACATTCCAAAATATGTAACAGACAAAATAGCAGTTCAATTACCTGAATACTGGAGATACCTGTAAAAGACTAATTTTTATTAGTCAACAGGATTACTTTCCCATTATTCAGAAACTTAAGACTGCTCATCCTCCGACATTACAACTTAAAAACACAGTTCTTTATCTAATCTAGTCCCATGTCATCTATAAACACATGGTGACCACACAAAATGTTTTCTTATAGTCTAAACTCAAGCTAAAGTCACTTTTAAGTATATTCATGCAATATACAGTTCTGGTTTTGTCTGACTTGCTGTAACTTTACTAATGAAAACAGAGTCCAGCCGGTAGTTTCAGCTCATGCCAGAAAAAGAGTAAACTAATGCCATCAGTTAGCTGCAAACTTCTATATGTAAATATGTAAGTAAGTATGTACTGGTTTTACTGTATTTGGCATCCTTGGATCCCTTAAAAAACATCAATTCTGCCTATGGTACTAAGTCATGGGGAAGAGACTATTAAGTTAGGAATAATCATCTTGAAATCATTTTACAGATACTAGTGTAGTATGTAATTTACATATTTAAATGCATGCCTAACAGGAAACCATATTCTTCTTCTAAGCAAAGCATTGAAGTAGGAAAACTCAAGGAAGATTAGAAAGTAAGGCTCACTTTCACTGCAGCAATAAGACGAATGTAGTCGCTAAGTAGTTCTGAAAACATGTAAAAATCAGCAAAAGCTTGTTCTTGGTGCAACTGGTCTATCTTCTCCTCGACCTCTGCAAGCTGAGACAAAGCTCTAGACAGAGCAGTATGATCTTCAGAATTACCTAACATGGCAGCACTTTTAGCAAAGGCAGCTGTGTTGGCTGAAAGTTCTGAAATAGAAAAGTATTCATTTTTAGTGTTCACTAGTGAAGTTCTTAAATATTGCACTGATATTTTATATTCTCTTTAAATTTTATCTATTTACAAACTGCTCAAGTATTTTAAAACAACACTGTAAAGCAATATGCTCCACTTAAAAAATAAAAAATATTTAAAAATAATAACATGAAAAAAAGTCGTTAAAATCCTTGGGCATATAAGTGTCAACTGTTCAGAGCTCTACTGAAAATTTACAAGTACACTGCATAAACTATGTTTAAAAATTTAATATAATAATCTCCCTTCCCATTCTCCTCCTAAGTGCTTCTCTGTATAGTCCTAAAAAAGACAAAAAATAAATATTTTTATATGGAAAGCACTGGGAACACTCACAATTGATTTGTATTACATTATATGGCCTTTAAACATGTATTTATTATTGAAAATAACAATTCTTATGAGATTATTATTTAGCTCACAGGAAGAAAGCAGGGAAAAACTGTATATGTAATTCACATAAATCTTCTTTTTTTCTTTGTGTGCAACACCAATGCTTACTGATAAATTAAGAATTTTTGAATGTGATCATTTTAAACACATCAAACAGAAAAACAGATGTTAAGAACTAATGATTACTTTGCCTGGATTTGCTCTGTTGCTCTGCATTTTGTAAAGTTCTCTTAAAGAACCATAAAATGTTCCCTAAGAGAGGATATAAATAGCAAAAACTGTTATAAACCACTTTCAATAAGAAATATATTAGTAGATTTTTGTAATTACTTTTTTTTGCAGTGTATTACTGCTAATGGCACTTATAAGTAATAAATTATTTACTAAGTGGTTTAGAAAGTGTTCTAGAAAGATAATTACTTACTAAGTGTTTCAAAAAGGTAGTTCTAGAAGTCATGTATTCTTTAAAAATAAAACAAAACCAAAAACACCTCACAATGGAATAAAAAATTAGAACTCAATTTTTTAATGAATTTTAAACACTCCCCTTGCTGGGTTTTTAAATATTGTGGTTGAAAAATAAAGCAAATGCTTCACAGTTCTTTAGGAAATATAGGCACAAAACTACATTTTAAAGACAAATTTCAAATATCAATTTTTGAATTTCATTCTTTAATTTTTAAGAGTTATCAATAAGACATCTTCATTCATTCAGTATATGTTTAACAAAGAGTTAATAATCAAGCAGTTTTAATCTAAAATTCAAAATATACTTTTACAAACCTAAGATTTTTCTCCTTCTAAACTAGAAGATTAAAATACAACAAAAAATATTAAGTAACAAAGTTGAAATAGAAAACATCCTCTTAAAACTATTCATTTCACAACTTTAAAATAATCATTTTTAATAAAACTTAATAAAATATCTGAATTAACTTACAGTGTTAAACATATAAATAACAAGACAAACCTTTTCTATGACAGACCAAGGCTTCAACACTGGCATGAAGTTTCCTAAGTTGCTGATCCAGATTTTCAAATTGCTGCTGCTTTTCTTCAAACCACTAAGAAAAAATGAAAAATGGAGCTAATTTGGCCAGAACAAACCAGTGTAAATTAGGTTACCAATAGCAAGCTACATTCCTTGTTTTAAGGCAACGAATTAACCATGTATAACCATGGTGGTCAACTGATGTGCTGAGAACTAAACTCAATAAGCAAATTAATATCCTATTTTTTACTTGTACAGCTTTAAAATGCAATTGTTGGGCTCATTAATTCATCTCATTATTCAAGTCGAAAAATCAGCTCTTACTGCATCCGATTCATTCATCTTGATTGTCATTTTGTTGACAGCGTCGGCAGCCTTGTTCACCATCCTCAATATTCCTGCTCCACTCAGAGCCTGTGTATTAACTGCTCTAGGCAGCTGGAATTGAATGACAAATAAGGGCAAACAAACCGGTTAAAAGCCTAGAGGTTTAACTGGCCACAAAAGGGACAGCCCCCACATAACACCCCCAAAAAAAAAGAAAAGAAAAAAAGGAGGTTGTATTTTCTTCACTCTCATACATTTCAATAGTGAGATCTAATTTCTCAAATACACTACTTGTACATTCTCAAAGGAAAACTTAAAAAATAGACTTTCCATTTGTTTTTCTTCTGCACGTTTACATTTAGATGGAACAACACTCTGTTTGTCAAAATATATTAAGAAATTGCCAAGCACCTTAACACTGGCCACCTGTTTGCTAGCAGATATAAACTGTTTAAAAGGAAAAAAGGAGCAAGTCTTGTGAAAAATCTCCTTATGCTTACTTAGTCAGGGCTGTGCGATTTTGATTTTTTTTTTTTTAACAATTCTGGAGTTCAAGTAGATTAAAAAAAAATCTCATATGGTAACAATTAGAGGATAAAATGTGCCAAATATAAAGATCAGCATGGCTATAATTAAAGTTCTTTCAAATCACACATTTCCATTTCAAAACCTTAATAAGACTATTAGAATGTAGACATACAAACCCACATTCAACTATCTCTAAAATGAGGTCTGAATAAACTTATTTCAACACAATGCCTAAGCAATGACTTAGGGTATTCAGAATTAGACTATCTGTAATCTTTTCTTTTAAATCTGGTTTTAATATATTTCAAGAAAGGGAATAATCATCCTACAATTATTGATAAGAAGAAGATATTATGATATTGCTATGTACTTAGTTAAGTAATTAAAGCTAATTAAAGCACTAGGCAAAAAAACCCCACATTGTTTTAATTCATTTATTAATGCAGCTGTTTGCTGAACACCTAAATTACTACACTGATAATCATAAATGAGAACATATACATATAAAAATTTAAAGTAGAAATAGTACCTCCGAACTTTCTAAGAACTGCCTTAAATCAGGATCCTGCAGTAAAGTTGGATGCTTTACTGTTCTTTGAAGATACCTAGATTTAAGAATAAAATGCTTTTATTTATCAGTAGCATCTTATTTTAAATCTTATTTCAACAAAAGAACATTGAAATATTTTTAAAAGATGCCTTCTGTTTGCTTCCTATCAGTTTGCTTTCACTCTAATTATGTGGAATTTTACAGTAATTTAATAATTAAAAAGCTTTGCATTCATCTTTTGAAAATTCATAATTATGTAAAAAGAGGCATGGTAGGTGGTAGGGGTAGGAATGGGGAGAGGTTAAATTACTTACCAAACTTCTCACTGCAAAATATTAGAGTTAGGGTACATATGTAACTTTATCAAACAACTCTTATCTTCTGGCAGGTCAGTATGTCCCCAGTCACTATTATATATATTCTAGTAATATATATATTACTAATTAGTCCAAACTATTTTTTTTTAATTGCCATCATTACCAAAATGGAGAACAGCCTACCAATTTTTCCCCCCTTGGCAGTAGATTTAAATAATCAAATCAGTTTTCATCCTCATTTAACAAGGACTAAATTTTTTTCAATATTTCTATTTCCAAGGTTTTGCTATTTTTGATGTTTTCATTATACGACATCACATAAAATAAAGAGTAAAGAGAAACATCACTATTAAATCACTATCAGTTTACTTTAGTAAATTTCCTTTACGAGAAAAGGTCAAACCCTGTCATTCATAATAAATTACCAATCTTTCTTTCATAAGAAAAAAAATTCCACCATTTGAATCACTGCTACTTATCTAATCCCATTTTTTAAAAATTGATCTTTCCCTAGATTAATAATTACATACAGTAATGTTTCAATTATAATAATTTGCCTAACAGTTAATATGCCTTTATTCTATTTATTCAGAACAGATTATAGAATATGCCTAAGAGTTTCTGGGGGGGGGGAGCTCAAACATTAACTTCTGTTTTTACATATTTAAATAAAATACTCACCATATTAAACCTCATTTTAAGTCATCAGCTCACGTAAGACGTCATTATAATAGAAGTAGTATTTAATAGATATGTACAATACAATCTACACTGGGTTTAAAAAATATTTATTTGCTGCTTAGTTTATAAAACTAAAAAAATAAAGTACAGTAGGAACACTAATCCTGTAAGTTTGAGAAATGGTTATATTTTTCCACTGGAATTTTATTTAAACAATTTTAACACTGGTTCTCCAGTACTACTCTAACTGAGTTATTAAGTTGTTTACGACTGTGTGCTGTTTAAAAGCAGTCTGCATAAGTTGCTCATTTGAGCGCACACAACAGCTGGTAAACAGCAAGCACTTAAAACATTCATAAAACTAGCAAGGAAGACAAAACATCTAGTACACAAGCTTCAAGAAAAATTGCAGTACTTCAAACCTAAATGGAAATGTACTTATATTCTAAAATAACTTTTTAAAATGAGTTTTAGTGACAATTTTTGAGTGAGTTCTATTGAGAATACTAGTCTCATGAAAAGTGTGAAATATATTATATACATATTCCTTTAAGATTCATAGTGAACAGCAGCATATTAAATACTGCGAGAAGTACTGCAGGAAAAAGATTTGGTTTAACTTTGTTAAAGCCTACATTAATAAACCTCAGACAGTAGATTTCTTTTTTCACCTTAAAACATACTAGCATTTTGAGGAATCAACGTTGAAAAATTATGTTCTAGAAAAAGACAGTAAAACTTTCTTATGGGTTACATGAAAATAAAGAGTAATTAACCACTTTAAAAAGGTATTAAACTTACATAATGTTAAAATTAAGAAAAGAAACATAAAACGGATTTTTAATTGATTAACTATTTGTAACTATACACCAATTCAGAATTAAGTTCAGAGAAGGTTATAGATGTGTAGAAGAAAGATAAAGAGCAAAAACGAATGCAGGAGGAATACACTGAAAATAAAATGAAAAGAGGTATTGGGAGAAGAACAAACACTGAAGGAACACATAAATGAAAGATGCTCGCAACTGATGAAAAGTAAGTGTCAGACTCTACAAGAAGCGGTCAGGAGGCAGTTCTTAAGACCTGCGCTAAGGATCAGTATATTCACAATCACTCAGGGCTTCCAACGGCCTCCCTGGTGGCTGAGATGGTGAAGAACCTGCCTGCGATGCAGGAGACCCTGTTTCATGCCTGGGTCTCAAAGATCCCCTGGAGGAGGAAATGGCCCACACTCCAGCATTCTTGCCTGGAGAATTCCATGGATAGAGAAGCCCGGAGGGCTATAGTCCATGGGGTCGCTTTCAAATTTCTACTTACCAAACAGAATAAAGCAGGTTATACAAAATGCTTGAGAGAAAGAGTTAAAGATATTTCTCTTGCTTTAGACTCAAACAAATGTGCTAACAAAGAGAGACCACAAAAGCACAAAGAACCTGGGTCTCTGATGACATTCATTTGTTCCTTCAAGGAACATATCTTGATACATCAGTTACTGTTCTGAGTACTCAGAATATATCAATGAACAAAAGAGAACAAGATTCCTTTCCTACTGAAGCTTTAATATCAGAAAAAGAAGACAGACAGCAAATCATAAAAATTATGTAGTATGAGGTAAGATGGCAAATGCTGTGGAGAAATGAAAGGACAAGTAAATGGGATACGTGAAAGTGCAAGTTGCTCAGTAGTGTCCGACTCTTTGCAACCGCATGGGACTATACAGTCCATGGAATTCTCCAGGCCAGAATACTAGAGTGGGTAGCCTATCCCTTCTCCAGGGGATCTTCCCCACCCAGGAATCGAACCGGGGTCTCCTGCATTGCAGGCGGGTTCTTTACCAACTGAGCTACTAGGGAAGCCCAATGGGATCAGTGGTTGATGCCAATTTAAATAGAATAGGTCAGAAAAGGTGATACCTGAATGCCTGAATTTTAAGCAGGTAATGGAATTAGCCATGCAGATACCCCAAGAGCAAAAGCTTTATAGGCAGTGCCACAGACGGTAGGGGAGTGAAAACCCAGGTGAGAAAATACCTGGGATCTCTGAGGAGCAGCAAAAAGGTGAGTGTGGCCTACAGCAAAGTGATCAAGGAAGATATGAGATCAAGCACGTAACAGAGTGAGCAGTGCATGTCATGGAAGATTTTATAGGTCATTATAAGGATTATGGCTTTTATTGAGTGAAATTAGGTGCGTGTATGAGTGGGGATGATTCACGTTTTAAACAGATGACACTGGTGGTTAAATTAAAAAAAGAGTAGAGATACGAGGATGGAAACAGGGAGATCAACTTGGAGTCTACAGAAGTGAATTCAGACATTTCAACTAGTAGTGAACAAATGAAAAAACTGTTGCCCAGATAGCAAAAGGAAACAACAGGATTTCCTGATGAATTTGATAATATTAAAATCTGCCTACCTCCAAACCTTCTGATATCAGTGGATTAATCAATCTACACTAACTGTTGAAGTTTTGCCAGCTGGGTTTTCAGGTACTTATTAAGATACAATTACATTTTTAGAGATAAGGAACAATGAATTTAGGTTAAATAATTGGTCCAAGACCTCACAAATAGTGTGCAATGCATAATCGAGTGCATGTTTCAACAGAGAAAGGATTCTAAAACTCTACACACTACTTCATTATACTTTACATTTCTCAGTTTATATTTACAAAAGTGTATCAATACTATATAAAACAAACAATATGCTCGTAAGTAACACATGAAGCACTCATAAGAAAATCAACGTGAGCTATCTTTAGGATACTTAGAAGATGTAGTTTCAGCTTACTGAGTGTGGCACAGGAGGAATGTTTGGGTTCTTAACCACTCCCTTTCTCTTCCCATATTTTAATACCAGATATTAGTCTTTTTGCTCAAGACAGTCATCTGGATTCTCAAAGTTCAACAAATAACTATGTAAATGACTATTAGAGTGTATATGAAGAAATACATCCTTGACCTGCCAGATCCAACTAGGTCATGTATCCCACAGAAATGCCTAAATGTTTAAATTTTAAGAAATGCCACAGAAAACTCACAATAAAAATCATTCCAGTTCCTCTGCTCTGTATGTTTACACCTGTATTTTCTTTAGTTATCTTCTCTAATGTAGAATGAACTCATAATATGCTTTTTCACTACTGCAAATTCTACTAAAGTACTGATAGTATTTAACAAATAATATTTACTAGTCAAGAAACTATCTTCACAAATACACTAGGTCAAGCTTCAATACTTCCTTAAAACTCTCCTCAGTGTTACATAGTGAATGAAGGTATGGTTTAAGTACTACGCAATGCATTCAAGTTAAAAGAAAAGGTGAGTGAAGAATCAAATATGTCCTTGGTACAATAAATCTTCATTAAGTTTCTTATCAAGGATGTCATCCAAAATATTTCAAATTTACTCACAGGAAAACAGGACTGGAAAGGCTTCTCAAAAGGTCATGGTTATACTTTCATGAAGAACTAAGTGAAATCAAGGCAGTACATTATCTATCTTTATTCTTAAACATACTCAGTCTATGACTTTTCACAACAGAATCAATTCTAATGCCGAAATTAAACTTCTATTGATGCAATTTACATCTTTTTCCAAGGTGACTGCTAGTCTCACCAACACAATCTCATCTTTTAAGTCTTCTCTAACATAAGATATTAAGTTGCACACTAGCTTTTCTTATTATGAATTGTTCAAACCTGACTTTACTGTGGCATTTTCTTAAAAGTGAAATAATTACTAAAACCCAGAACTATGTTGTCTCAAAAAAAGTTTTAAAAACTAATATATACCCAGTAGATATATATGCTATTTCCTAAAAACTGTCCTTATCTACTCTAACCACTAATTTTAAGCTGAGAGAGAAAATAAAACAAATAAATTTGATTAAAATCAGAAACCAAAAAACTATGAAAGTAGCAAGTATTTTAAATCTACATAATTACCAACTATAAGTTGAACTTTAAGATAGTTTTGAACTTGTTTTCTCATATTTTCATCATAGAAAGGAAGAGGTGTTAAGATTCTGGGAGTAGATTCCTCCCATCCATTTCTTTTTGAGTTGGCCACAATGAACACAAGTCTTCAAAGCTATAAGAAATATGTCAGGTCAAGAAGTATAAAAGAAGGTACAGTATACATATCTACCAGCCTTTAACTATACAGTCAGTTCAAGCATTGACTAACACTTTTGTACACTCAAGTCACAATCAACTATAAAGAACTGAAGGAGGGAGCACAAACTAAGTTTTCATTGCATTTAATAATATTTCAATATCACTATTCAAAAGAAAAATTAATATAGATGAAAACAAGTATCACTTTGTTATGAGAATTAATAGAAATGGAACAAGTATACAGTACCACATTTTGTAATGAACCAATTTTCTTTAAAAAAAGCTCACAGCACTCTTAAGAGTAACTGAGTAGTACTTCAGAATTTCCATACTTAATAATATACTTGTGCCACTTAGTGGAATCAAACTTATGTTACTGAAGTAAAAACATAAGAGTAATAAACATAGCTGATTACAATTACCTTTCAAGAGCTGCTCTCCGTTTTTCTACAAATTCTGTGGATGATGAATCTTCTTTACCCACCTTGACCTTGGTCATGCCTTTGAAAAAATTGAATGAGATTCATGATTTCCTACTACTGAGAAACATTCTTTTAAAATAATTTCTGCATAATTTGGCTTCCCTGGTGCCTCAGAGATGGTAAAGAATCTACCTGCAATGCAGGAGACTCAGGTTCAACCCCGAGGTTGGGAAGGTCCCCTGGAGAAGGGAATGGCTACCCAGGCCAGTATTCTTCTCTGGAGAATTCCACGGACAGGAGTCTGGCAGGCTACACAGCTCATGGGGTCACAGAGTTAGATGCAACTGAGTAATTAACACTTTCACTTTCTGAATAATTTAAAATATATTTGAACTTGACAAAAAAGTGCCAAAAATTATAACTAGTATCATACGTTTGACAGATTAATATATATACTTGGCAAGTACTTTTAATGTAAGCTATAAAAGAGTACAGCTAAAAGCAGAGGTTGAGCTATGTCTATAGTTTTCCAGTATGGAATCCTCATTTTATTTGATATATATTATACTCCTGGTAAATTAAAATGTGTCTGTACTGCAATATGCATAATGGAGTTCAAATTCATGAGTTTAAGCTCACTTGATATTTTTATCTCTTTTGAGCAATAATTAAAAGTCTTTACTTTTGGTATTAGAAAAATAAGTGTAATCTGTAAATATGCTAAGTACTTCCTCTGTCACAAATTTTAAGAACATGTTCTTGTTTATTTATCATATTTGGCTTTATAACAGCTGAAATAATGAGCTCTTTCACAGAACCTCTTTGAATTTAAAAAATAAATTCATGTGCAAATTTTTTCTTAGTTAATGTATTAATTTTTAAAACCCGATGGACAACATGAAATTTTTAAAATGACTCCTTCTCTACTTGATTTTCTGCCAAGAACTTCACAGAACAACTTGTTATCCACCTTTAAGCTCAGACTTTATGCACACATTTAGAGGAAACTAACTTGACTTTATCTTTTATTTAACCACATTTATTTTTCCTGCTAATCTCTTTATATCTTTTTTTAAACTGCATTTTATATGGTTGCCTCAAATTCTTCCAATCTTTTCAATCCTCTTAATCTAATAATTGGTGGAAGGTTGAAGATTATTAGAGAAAAATATTAGTTTGAAACACAATAAAATTGGCATAAAAATTGAGTTTAAAAATTTTTTTTTCCTGGTTCAATGTTTAAAGACTAGTGTATCTAGTCACCAAAATGAGAAAAATTATTTCGTTTTTCCTCTTTTGATATATTAAAAGCAGTTGTACAACTTAAAGCTAAAGAAAAAAGGATATTAATAATAAATAATTTATGATAAATGAAACAAGTTCACTACACAGATAATGGAAGGCCAAAGGATACCACTGCAACCGTTTAGAGAAATAAAATTATTAACTAGACTAGCAGTTCACAAAGCATGGTTAGAGTATCTGGAAGCATTCTGAGACCTTTTTGAGGAGTGACAGGGGATGTGTACAAAAATCTATCTTCATAATACACCACGCTGTTATTTTTGTATTTCTCACTCTCATTCTTTCACGAGAACTCAGTGGAGCTTTCCTAAAGTTATATGATGTATTGTATTACAAAAGGTAGAGTGCAGAAGCAGATGTAAAAATAAAGCTATTTTATATTAAGCCAGAAATTAAAGTGATTTTGCAAAACTGTAAAAAACAAAAACTGCAAGCCATTCTTATCATTATTTTTTGTTTTACAAAAATAGTTTTTCACAAAAACTTTATTTGTTAATAACAGGTTATGAGTTTATTATTTTTAAATCAATTAATAAACACAATTTAAAAATTTTCACATGTAAGTATCAAGAGATACAGCTCCAAAAGCAAAAGCTCTTTAAGGCCCTTCAATAAATCTGAATATACAAAGGGTCTTGAGACAAAAAAACTGAAGAACTATACTAGGTCTTTGAATTTTAAAAAAGAGCAACAATATAAAAATGTTTTTGAATATATCAAGGTTTCAAAATCATAAAAGACACAGATAAAGCTGTTTTTCAAATCAAATGTTTAAAGAGGTAAAAACAGTAACTTAGAGTAAAACTTATTTCAAATATATTTCAGAATAACAATCTTATGTATATAAAAAATTGATTTAAATAAAAACCTATGACTGGGAAATTGGTTCAAGATGATGGAGAAGGAGGATGTGCACTCAACTTCTCCTGAGAGAACACCAAAAATCTATGACTGAAAAGAAAGAGTGGAAAAAATACTACAAAATTTTAATGGTGGGACAATAGAGGTTTTCCTCTTTCGTAATATTCGCATATTCTTAACTAAGTAAGGCTTTATTACCTGTAAAAGTGAAATGTTTTTAAATGTTAAATTGAGGTATGTAATAAAATAAAATGAGTTTAAATAGCTCCTGTGTGAGCAAAGCTACATCAAATCTTTTTGTACAATGTATAGCTGAGCACAGAACATCTCCAAGTTCTCAGAAAAATGTTAATATGCCAATAATATTAAATATTCTCTAAATGTTAATAATAAGGTATTCTGCTACTGCTACTGCTAAGTCACTTCAGTCATGTCTGACTCTGTGCAACCCCATAGACGGCAGCCCACCAGGCTTCCCCATCCCTGGGATTCTCCAGGCAAGAACACTGGAGTGGGTTGCCATTTCCTTCTCCAATGCAGGAAAGTGAAAAATGAAAGTGAAGTCGCTCAGTCGTGTCCAACTCTGTTCGACCCAATGGACTGTAGCCTACCAGGCTCCTCCATCCAAGGGATTTTCCAGGCAAAAGTACTGGAGTGGGGTGCCATTCCCTTCTCCGATAAGGTACTCTAGGTTTTTAATTGCTTTCATCTTGCTAAATTCCAACTTAATATTTAACATCATCACATTGTATAAATCAAAATCCTTAGGTATTAGAAATAAAATTTTTAGCTACACACTCTTCAGTTGATAAATGACTATCATAAATAGAATATTTAAATTCAGTATTCTTAAGAGACATGTGTACCCCAATGTTCGTCATAGCACTGTTTAAAATAGCCAGGACATGGAAGCAACCTAGATGCCCATCAGCAGACGAATGGATAAGAAAGCTGTGGTACATATATACAATGGAATATTACTCAGCCATTAAAAAGAATACATTTGAATCAGTTCTAATGAGGTGGATGAAGCTGGAGCTATTATACAGAGTGAAGTAAGCCAGAAAGAAAAACATCAATACAGTATACTAACGCATATATATGGAATTTCGAAAGATGGTAATGATAGCCCTGTATGCAAGACAGCAAAGGAGACACAGATGTACTGAACAGTCTTTTGGACTCTGTGGGAGAGGGCGAGGGCGGAATGATTTGGGAGAATGGCACTGAAACATGTATATTATCATGTGAAACGAATTGCCAGTCCAGGTTGGATGCATGAGACAAGTGCTCGGGGCTGGTGCACTGGGATGACCCAGAGGGATGGGATGGGGAGGGAGGTGGGAGGGGGGATCAGGATGGGGAACACATGGGGAACCCATGGCTGATTCATGTCAATGTATGGCAAAACCAATACAATATTGTAAAGTAATTAGCCTCCAATTAAAATAAATATATTTAAAAAATAAATAAATAAAAAATTAAAATCTGAAAGTCACTGAAGAGAGACTGAGAGAGATGCTTGGAGTGACTCCTCTCTTCCTTTAAGAAATACTGTAATATTTTACTTAATAGATATTTAAACTAGAATTATTGGAGCCATGAAAGACTTTTTTTGGAGGCAATGTCAATAACATAAAGCGAGGGTTATTTTTGATGAAAAGTGTCTCACAAAGTTAGAAAAAATTCAAAAAAAATAAAAGCTTGTATGGCATTTATAAAAAAAAAAAATAAATTCAGTATCTCTTAAGACATTGATGTGTCATGATAGTGAATGATCATGGAATACACAAATCCATACAATTAAAACTGAACATACTAGTATGTTCAGTAACAAAAATCAATTTTTAAAGATTCACACTTACCTACTATACTCTTTTCTGGTGCTGGTGGCACAATATAACCGACGTGTAAATACTTGCTTGCTAACTTGCTATGCAAACCAAGAAAGTCACTAAATCTTCTTTTAACTGAAAATTCACTTTTACTGAACATGGAAAGAGAAGTCTACAAGTGAAGAAGAGGTATTTCAAATTTTGAATACTGAAGTTATTTAAAAGTTAATGTAATACATAACTGTGAATATGCATACACACACACACAGAGGTCTACATTGCAAAAAAAATGTAGAGTAGCTAACTAATGTGAAACAAAGATTTCTAACAACTGGAAAAACCCCAAATCATAGTTGTTGCTGTGTTTTTTTTTTTTTAACAGAAAACACCTGCTTTATTCTACACTTAACTCATCTCACCAACTCTACCTGTATTTATGCTAATGATTCTTAACTTCTGATCTTTACCTCTAGCCTAGATCCCCACTGAGCTTCAGTCTAATATACAGTCCAAGGGAAAACCTCCACTTAAATTGCACTGCCACCTCAATTTCACCATATTTTCCCCTGCTGGAAAAGTGAAGGGAACTTCTCTGTATTGTTTACTATTATATTCTAGCCTTTGGAAGACAGCCTGACTCCAAGGTATATAAATAAGTATCTGTTTAATGAATTAACAAATTTCACTCCATATTGGTTCCTCCCTTTGTATCACCTTTTCTCCAGGATCATTCCAACAACCACAGAGTTCCTCTAGACAAAGACTCAGGTTTCCCTCCTTCCTGACTTCTTACATCCAAGCTCTACTGATCACACCTTCTATATAACTCAAGAAACCATTTTCTTCACTCATCCCCTTAGTATTAAGTATCACTTCTCATAGTAGGACTGCTGCAGACCCTCTGTCTTTAAGATTTGAAGGTCTAAAATCCCTTTAAGAATTGCAACTGCCTCAGCCTCCTGACCTTTCTTTTTATTTTGGCTGCACTGTGCAGCACGAGGAATCTTAGTTCCCTGACCATGGACTGAACTCACACACTCCCCAGCAGCAGAAGCACAGAGTCTTAACCAGTGCACCACCAGGGAAGTTCCCTGACACTTTTATCCTTCCAATCCAAACTGAGTCAGAGAGAGCTTTCTAGAACAAAAATCTCACTGAGCCACACTCTTGTTTGAACTTCAGTGGTTCTCCATCATACAATTCCTAATGTAACTGTTCATAATAAAGGCAGGCTTACTGCCAGACAATTTAATCTGGCACCACTTCCGGCAGGTCCTAGAAAGCACAATGTTTTCTTGTTTCTGGCTTTTTACACAAGCAAATCCCTCTGCCCCCCTCCCACCCACAACACTTTGCCTAGCTTAGATCCCTTCCTGCAGAGCCTCCCAGAACACTCTAACCACCAAACTACTCAGGACTCACTGTGACTATTTATATGCAACTTTTACTGGATAATAACCTTGTAAAGACAGTGATCACATACACTTTAATCACTGTAGTATCCTCAAACTACACAGTGAGGGCTCGGTATTTTTTTAGAGGAGCAAAAGGCTTACCTTTGTCGTTACTCTATAAGCCATGTAAGCATTCATGCCATCACCTATAAGAAAAGCCAAGCTATTAAAATTCATAAGCTTAACACACACGGTAACTATGTGAGGTAATATATTAACTTGATTGTGGTAATCATTTCCTAAAATATTAAGCTATCGCATTATAATTGCAATGTGTGTACATCCTAAATACACACAATTTTTATTTGTCAATTATTTCTCAATAAAGCTGGGAGAAAAAACAAACCACCAAACTGCCACAAGTTTAAAATTTAGAAGCACTGTTTTAATATTGTAACAATGCATGTAGTTAAGAAAAACAGCACATTAACAACCACGTTAATTATCAAAAAGAAGCAAGTACAAAATATCATAAGTGTTGACTCACCAACTTTCTCTGGATCTGATACACCAATTTCTATATCAAAAACATCTCCATTTGCTTCTTCTTCAATCTAGGAAAATTTTTTTTGGTATTAAAGAGTCCAATTTGTATTATTGTCATAATACCAGTAAGTATAATTTTTACCATCTATCTTTTATTAGGATCACTGCCACCCGAAACAATCTGAGAATCACTCAGCACTCCATTTCTGAAAATCAATGAAAGCTTCTACATTTCCTGCCTATGTGAAACACACACACACACACACACAGACAACAGGAGAAGGATAACTGGGAGAAGTGACAAAGTCTTGTGTTCCTCTGACTCCTCAGATGTAAAGAAAACTTCTGGAGGAATACTGTGGAATATTTCTGTTCAATCTTCAGAAAGATATTATGAAAATAATTCCTTAATTATTTTTAATGTTACTATTTTTCAAAGCTGTATCTCTCCTCTTTAAAACCCAGGAAATAGCCATTACTTTTGCCAGTAGAATCCTACAAACTTGCAGAAATTATTATAAGCAACTTGATCATCATGATTTCTCTAATTACCTAGTAAACACATGTTCTTCTTGAAGCCAATAAAAGCACTACAAAGCTGAGAAAAAAGGTAGGAAAAATGATCAACCTATGAGACTACAGAGAAGTAGTACAGAGAAGTGCTAAGAGAAGCACTTTTTATGTCATTATAAGTAAGCAATCCCTATTAACAGTAGCTCTGAAAGGTTTATTACCTTCAAGAAGAAAACACAGGAACTGTTCAATTTTTCAAAATTTAAAAGCAATATTAATATTCTAAGACTTCAGAAAAGCATGTTTTTCTAATGATAATTTTTTTCAAAGTTGCCCTACTGCACAGATTTTTGAAAAGTAAGCCTTATCTGAACTGTAACATAAAGTATATAAATCCTAGGTATACAGCTCAATAACTTTTACAAAGTAAACATATCTCTGTAACCAGAAACAAGATCAAGAAAGAAAACCATCATTACACCCTAGAAGCCCCTCATGCTTCCTTTCCACTCACAACACATCCCCTGCTCTGCCAACGTAGTCAGTCGCTCAGTCCTGGCCGACTCTTTGCGGCCACACGAACTGTGCCCGGCCAGGTGCCTAAGTCCACGGACTATTATGGTAAGATCACAAATGACAAACTGTCTGACTTGAGAAGGAAAGTGATGTATTCAAGTTACTGGATTAAAAAGTGTGGAGATAAATTAAGAAGTCAAATCACCCAACCTCTTTAGTGTTCTTTTTGGAAATGTCTAAAAGGCTTTGATTACAAATGATGGACAGGAGAGAAATGCTGGGTGGGGAACAAAAACAAAAGTATTATTTACATATTACTTTAGAATATAAACATTTTTCCATACCTCATCCCTGGATCTATCAAAGATCACAGGAGCAGACATACTCTTTGATTCAATTCTGGGAGCAATGAGTGTTGTGGGGGTCACAGGTGTGACTGCAGGAGAAGGTTCTGAGGAGAGTATAGGTTCCCTTTCTGGACTGTCCAGAGAAACTTCTTCTGTAGCTTCTAGACACAAATTAAACAAGTTGGTTGAGGATACTGGTAACAAGTTGAGCAGGCAATGAATTATGAAACATTTTTATATGACCCATAATATCAAAATATTATTTTAAAATAATTGTTATAAATAATTTATGAATCTTTCCTTAGTGGTTTACTTAAAACTTTAAATCCAACAGTGACTTTGTTGATTTTAGGAAGAATTCCAGTAAGTCAACATAGTTATCTATACTAGTGAAAGGGATAAAGCTAGTAGGAAAGCAATGATGTGAATAATTCCACATTCATTTGTGTCTGGATCTATAATATATCTAATACTTGTGGTAACTTACCTTCCAAAATCTTGTATTCAGGCTAATATTATGTTTCTTATATACACACGAACAGAAACTTTAGAGTGGAAAGCTGCTCCCAACTATCCCAACGGGGATTAAAAATTTGTTATGGAAAGTCCACAAAGTTAGTAATCTAAAGCAATTAACTGCTAAAGATTACTGAATATTAGCTGAATACACAAATATACACCAAGCAATAGATGTTTAGGTTTTCATTTAAAATGCTTGTTTACTTGAAAAATCTAAAACTAAATATATTTATAAACAAAACAAATCAATAAACTGTGTCTAAAAGCTATGTAACATTGTGCTAAATGCAATGAAGAAACACAAAAAAATGTAAAGTATCATACCTGCCCTCAGGGAGTTTATAATCTAGTTGGGAAAACAAGACATAAGCATGTGGAATGTTAAATAATAAAAGACAAATAACAGCCAAGAGAACAATATAAAGAGCATAACAAAACGTTTAACTGATATATGAACTATAGAACACACTATAATTTGAGTTGAGATGGGAGAGAATAATCTAGGCTGGGAAAAATAGGGAATATTTTATGAAACTGAATTGAAAAGATCTGAATGGATTTTTAAAAAAGAAAAGAAAAGAAAAGAAATGATCTGAATGGATTTAGAGAAAAAATGAGGGAAGTATTTTCCCAAAATGAAACACAGTTGACCCTTGAACAACATGGGGGTTAGGGCCACCAACCCTCTCCACAGTCAAAACTCTGAGTATAAATTACATTTAGGCCTTTCATATATATGGCTCCTCTGTTTCAGAGGTTCCACATTCTTGGATTCAATCAACCTCCGATCAAGTTGTACTGTAGTATTTACTAATTTAAAAAAATGCATATTAGTGGACCTGAGCATTTCAAACCCATATTGTTCAGGAATCAATCATAACTGAGTAAGTTAAAAGCAAAGCCAGAAAAGTAAAATTTATAATCAGTGGCCAAAATAATAACCACAGTTCTGCTGGTTTATAGAACTGATACGAAGAAAAGGCAGGAAGGACTGTAAATGAAACAGGATTAGATCAGTGGTTTCTAACCTGAGGTTCTTAGATTCCTCTAAGTTTGAGAAGGTAGTAACAATACACAGTGAGTCATTTTAATACCTCAAAATGTATATCAGTAATAACATATATGTTATTTACTCGAAGCAGTAAGATACCTCTTGAATTTTTGAGGTATTAAAAATTTCTACCTCTTTGAATTAAGACGTACAAACTACTATGCATAAAATAAATAATCTACAAGGATATATTGTACATCACAGGGAATACAGCCAACATTTTAAAACTATAAATGGAGTATAAACTTGAAAAATTGTAAATCACTATATCGTACACCTGAAACTTAAATGATACTGTATATCATCTATACCTCAATAAAAAAATAAGTCAAAGTTTTTCTTTTTTTACAGAAAAAAGTCCCATATATACTATGTATAAAGATTAACATTTCCTTGAAAGAGACACTTTGAAGGTAAGTGTAAATTGATTATGTCAATGTCAGCTAAGTAACATTTCACTCATACCACAGACACCAGAGAATTTTTCAAACAAAGGAATACCTGTTAAACTTTGGATTTGGTATAATCTGCTGAAAAGCGTTAAGTGAAATACACTAACTACCCTGGCAAAAACAAGTTCTAAAAAGTCTAGGACAATTTCAACACTGGCAATTTGCTCACCCTCACTTACTCCTCTTGGACAGTTTCCTAACGTGTTCAGTGAAGCTTAGTGCAGGATGGTACTGATGGGAAAGCGGCTCTCTAGTTACCCACGTTTGGTGAACATCCTGAAAGTAAGCTAATAACAGTAACAAAAGTCATGCTTGAACTTTTTCTGATGCCACTTCTGACATAATAGTATTTGAAATGCTACCCAAAGTATATTGGCATACATACCAATTACAATCTAATCTCATTATGGTTTTAAAACCAGAATGGCTAAGTCATTAGAGCAATACCTATAGTTTCTTCTCTTATACAGGTCTTAGGAAACCTAACGATGTCATTATGAAATGTAGCTGAGTTTAAGATAAAAGATAAAGCATAAAAAGTGTCTGCAGGTAACAAAAGAAACAGATGACTTTTTATTGCTTCATCTCTGTTTCTCCTTAAAAACAAACAACTGACATTGATCAATCACTATGTTTAGTATAGTCTGCATTAGGTACACTGGCACAAAAAAGATTTTTCTAGTTGAGCTTTGTGGGCAAGTATCACTGCTCAGCCCTGACGTGGCAAACTGTTTGATCAGCAGGGCACATTGTAAACAAGACAACCATCTTTCCTAGGCATACATCAGAGTTCTGCTTTTAGAGTTTCAGCACACTCATTAACATAGAATTCTGAGACTTAAAAGTTAAAGACTTTAATAAAATGGGTAATCCAAGTGTTCTATGTATGACCCTCTACTATTAGAGGAATAACCACAATTTTAGATTAGCAGCTACTTTTGTCATCTTTCAGATTAAAACATAAATGCCACGAAGAAACTTCCAAGGATCTCCTGGGAGAAAGTTAATAAAAGAAAAGAAAAAGGAGGATTACAATTTTGGTTAACTGTCATTATACTCTGTTAGGCAGCGACAGAAAAAGAGGGGAGGGGCTGGGAAAATGATTGTATTCACATTTTAATTTTCTGACATGAATTCATAAAATACATGAATTCATCTGCAGTGAAAACTTTTCACATATTAAACAGGAAATTATATGGACCTCTGTCATAGAGGATTGTATTTTTAAACATACTTGTATTAAAAAAATACAGGATGGTTTCAATATTCAACCACTATAAAAGTTGAGGGAGGATACATTATCAAGTTTTAACTCAAAGAAAGACAGTTTAGGTAAATTAAGCTCTTAAACACACAAAGATTTACTATTGCAATTATTTGTGCCATTAATTCCAAGGAAGATGCTGCTTTTTAATATCCAAACATTAGTTTGTATCTAAATTTTAATCTTAACTACTGTTTTCAAGAGGGTCCAATTTTTTAAAGGTAGAAATGGACTACACCAAATCCTGCTGTGGCTGCTGCTAAGTCGCTTTAGTTGTGTCCGACTTAAGTGTGACCCCATAGACGGCAGCCCACCAGGTTCCTCTGTCCCTGGGATTCTCCAGGCAAGAACACTGGAGTGGGTTGCCATTTCCTTCTCCGATGCATGAAAGTGAAAAGTGAAACTGAAGTCGCTCAGTCATGTCCGACTCTTAGTGACCCCATGGACTGCAGCCTACCAGGCTCCTCCGTCCATGGGATTTTCCAGGCAAGAGTACTGGGGTGGGTTGCCACTGCCTTCTCCATAACACCAAATCCTGCCCCCATATCAAAAATAAATTCCTGAAGAATCTATTCAGTCTGAATGCCACAACCATTAGTTTGTGTTCAAGTACTGCTCGAAATAATCAAATTATTACTGTGACTAATTTCCAAATGCTTAAAACCAGAAAGGATCACATTCGTGCTTCTCACAACAGTCTTTATTTTTCACAAGTCAAAGTAACTAAAATTTCCTATCATCCTAAATCATTAACAAGAAAAGCCATCAATAGTATTTCACAAAAAATGTTAGTTTTGTTTTAGAGAATATTTTCTAATAGGATATATGCTACAATTGACTATTACTTAAAAAAAATAAAAGTGTTTACAATTACCTGCAAAAAGATCTTCTCTGTCATCATCTAGCACAACTTCTGCAGGCTTTGGACCATTGGAGTTCGTACTAATATCTTCTGCAAGAAAGCTAGCTGGATCCGGAGATGATGGACTTGACTGTTAAAAAAATAATTGATAATGGATTGCCATGTTTGTCTGTTATAATTATGTCTCCAGATACTACAGAAATAAAACATTCTCCTGATAAGCAGAGAAGAAAGAATAAGAACAGCTATTTACAGTTCCTCCTCTGAGGGTAAGAAATAACCAAAAACACACTTTCACTCACCTTCTTTCTTAACAAGAAGTCACTTAAGATTTAAAACAGAAAATCTTTTCCAGTCACCCAGTTAGATATACTAATCTGTCATGTCTAGTTATAATTAACAAAACAAATTTTAATGTTTTATATAGCATATATCATATAATAGTAAAAATCAGACCTTGCAAATATGTTGCATGAATAAGTTCAAATTAATACTTGAAGAAAAAGGTTTAGCAGTAGTTGACTTAAGACTACAATTATTCTAAAATTTCTGTATTGTCAAACTAAAAAATTCCCAATTATTTACATTTCAACTAAGCTAAAGGAATATTTTTGTATTTCTGAAAGTACAAAAATTAGCAAAATTAGTTAAAACCAGTACTTAAAAAAATATATAACACAAAAAGGAAGTTTTATACATCAAAAGTGCACAGCTATATATTTTCAAAACCCAACACACTTGTGTAATCAGCACCCAGATCAAGAAAGAGAACATTATCAAATCGAAAAGCTCCACTCATGCTCCCTTCCATTCTTTACCCTCTCCCAACCGAGGCTTCCACCAACAAGGATGAGTTTTTCCTGTTTTTGCTCTTCACAGAACTAGAATCATCCAAAACACAATTTTTTTGTTTGTTTTTTGATCTTAATGCTATGTATATAAGACTCTTTTATATTGTTGCATGTAATAATAGAACACTCATTTTTGTTGAGGTAAATATTCCACTGCGTAAATACGCCACAACTGATCCATTCTGCTGTTGATTAGCAGCTAGGTTTTCAAATTTCATTATCAGTTTGTTACCACTATCAATAGTGCTGTATGAACTGTCCAGCACATGTATCTTTTAGCAAACAGTGAACAAATTTCTGTTTGGTATGTACCTAAGAGAGGAATCACAGGATAGGTAAATGTTCTGCTTTAGAAGACATCACTAAAAATCTTCTAAAGCAGTTATATAATTTACACTCCCCCCAGTAACATAGGACTTCCCTGTAGCTCAATGGTAAAGAATCTGCCCGCAATGCAGGAGACCAGGGTTTGATCCCTGGGTCAGGAAGATCCTCTAGAGAAGTGAATGGCAATGCACTCCAGTATTCTTGCCTGTAGAATCCAATGGACAGAGAAAACCACGGGCTACAGTACATGGGGTTACAGTTGGGCACGACCGAGTGACTAACACACACCAATAATGTAGAGAGCTTCCAGCTGCTTCATATCCTTGTCAACACTTAAATATATTTCATGCTTTCACTTAAGCTATTATGGATATGTAGAATACAGAGTGCATGTTACTGTGATTTGAACTGGCATTTTCCTGATGAGTAATAATGGTGAGCAGTTTTTCATATGTTTAACAGACATTTGGATATCTTCTTTTGTGAAGGGTCTCCTAAGTATTTTCCCTATTTTTCTACTGTTCTTATTGATTTGTAGGCATTCTTTACATATTCTAGATACAAGTTCTAGATATGTATCACATATGTATGGAGAAAAAAATTTTCTCCCAGTTTGTACTGTTGCCTTTCCACTTACTTAAGGGTACATACTAATGAATAGTTATTAATTAGTAAGGGTAAATTATCAACTTTAAGGCCATTTCTAATTAATAAGATTTTTCTGATCAGTTTTTTGAGTAAACTATCCCCTATGGCATAAGGACATTTCTTTACAGCTTTCAAAAACAGTTTAAGTTCCTTATGGGAAAATTTTAAAAAGCAGTTTCTTTTCTCTCAGGAGCTCATTATTACATCTCCAAACTCTCACAAAGGTACACGTCTACTCACCTTAGCATTTTCTTCTTGAAGGAACTTAAAAACAAATAAGCTTTTCATATAAGCTTTTTCCAGAAGATGTTCCTGACAACCTCCTCTCTAACTGAGTGTGGTTAGGTGAGTGGTATATATGCTTCCAATGCATATCTGTTTCTTTTGTCATAATTTCTCTTACCACACTGTATTACCATTATTATCTATTTATAGACTACAAACTCTGTATGAAAAGAAGAATGTCTTATTTTATTTCTTTTTACCAGGTTCCTGGCAGCAAACACTCAATGACTATCTGTTAACTCAACTCTAAGAAAATAACTATGAATATGTGTAAGAAATGGCAGTAAGTCTGTCAACCAGACTGTCTACAATAAAGTTTGAAATACCCTTAAGTACATATATATAAAAATGTAGCAGAGTGGCTCCAACACCCATTCATGGAAATACAGAATTGCTGCAATTTGAGGAATAGCTAAAAAAAATCTACCCCTAACATTACATTTAATGAAAAACTAAGAGCTTTCTCACTAAGAGCAAGAACCAAGGCAAGGATGTCTGCTGTCTGCTGTCATTACTACTTGTCAACATCACACTGCAAGTCCAAGCTATGCAGTAAAGATAAAAAAGGAAATAAAATCCAGAAGAACTGACAAAAAAGGCTTCCAGAACTAATAAACAATTATAGCAAAGTTGCAGGATACAAGGTTAACCTACAGAAGCTAATTATGTCTATATACCATCAACAAATAGAATTTGAAATTTTAAAAGAAAAAAATACCATTTACATCAGCACCCAAAACAACTAAATACTCAGGAAGAAACCTAACAAAACATGCACAAAACCCCTATGAGGAAAACTAAAAAACCCTAGTGAACAAAATGAAAGAAGAGCTGAATAAATGGAGAGGTACTCCACACTCACGAGTAGGAAGACCCTGCACTGCCAAGGTGTCAGTTCTTCCTGACTTTGACCCACAGGCTGAATGCAGTACCAAACAAGATTCCAGCAAGGTATTTTGTGAGTATCGCGAGAATGATGATAAAGTTTATACGGAGAAGCGAAAAACCCAGAAGAGACAATACATTACTGAAAGAGAAAAACACAGTGGGAGGACTACAGCTACCTGACTTCAAGACTTACCGTAAGGCTACAATAATTGACACAGTGTGATACAGGTAAAAGAATAAATAGACTAGTGGAAAAAAATAGAGAACCTAGAAATAGATTCACTTAATATAAGCAAGTCGGTCATGGACAGCAGTCTTGTGGCAAAGGGGCTTGTGTAGCTCAATGAAGCTATGAGCCATGCCATGCAGGGCCACCCAAGAAGGACAGGTCACAGTGGAGAGTTCAAGCAAAACGTGGTCTACTGGAGGGGATGGCAAACCATCCCAATATTCTTGCCCCGAGAACTCTGTGGACATTATGAAAAGTCAAAAAGATACGACACTGGAAGATGAGCCCTTCGGGTCAGAGGGTGTCACATGTTACTGGGGAAGAGCAGAGAAATAGCTCCAAAGCAAAGGAAGAGGCTGGGCCAAAGTGGAAACAATGCTCAGCTGTGGGTGTATCTGGTGTTGAAAGGAAAGTCTGATGCTGTAAAGAACAACAAAGTATAGGACCTGGAATGTTAGGTACATGAACTAAGGTGAACTAGACAAGGTCAAGCATGAGATGGCCAAGAGTGAACATTGACAACATTAGAAACCAGTGAACTAAAATGGATGGGAATGGGTGAATTAATTCAGATGACCATCATGTTTACTTCGGGGGGCAAGAATCCCTTAGAAGAAATGGAGTAGCCCTCATTATCAAGAAAAGTCTGAAACGCAGTACTTGGTACAATCTCAACGACAGAATGATCTCAGTTTGTCTCCAAGGCAAACCACTGAACATCACAGTAATTCAAGTCTATGCCCCAACCACTAATGCTGAAGAAGCTGAACGGTTCTATGAAGACCTACAAGACCTTCTAGAACTAACACCAAAAAGTGATGCCTTTTTCATCATAGGGGATTGCAATGCAAAAGTAGGAAGTCAAGAGATACCTGGAGTTAAGAGGCAAGTTTGGCCTTGAGTACAAAATGAAGCTGGGCAAAGGCTAACAGAGTTTTGTCAAGAGAGCACACCTGTCATAGCAGACGCCCTCTTCCAAAAACGGAAGTGACAACTCTAGACAAGGACCTCACCAGAGGGTCGATACTGAAACCAGTCTGATTATAATCTTTGCAGCTGAAGATGGATAAGCTCTCTACAGTCAGCAAAAACAAGACCTGAAGCTGACTGTGGCTCAGATCATGAGCTCCATATTGCAAAATTCAGACTTACATTGAAGAAAGTAGGGAAAACTACTAGGCAGTTTATGTATAATCTTAATTAAACCCTTTTGATTATATAGTGGAGGTGACGAATAATTCAAGGGATCAGATTTGATACACAGAGTGCCTGAAAAACCATGGATGGAGGTCAGTAACTCTACACAAAGGGGTGACCAAAAACCAGCCTAAAGAAAAAGAGATGCAAGAAGGCAAAGTGGTTGTCTAAGGAGACCTTACAAATAGCAGAGGAAAGAAGAGAAGTCAAAGGCAAGGGAGAAAGGGAAAGATATAACCAACTGAATGAAGACTTCCACAGAACAGCAAGGAGAGATAAGAAAGCCTTTTTAAGTGAACAATGCAAAGTAATAGAGGAAAACAACAGAATGGAAGAGACAAGAGATCCCTTCAACAAAACTGGAGATATCATGGGAACATTTCATGCAAGGATGAGCAGGATAAAGGACAGAAATGGTAAAGACCTAACAGAAGCAGAAGAGATTAAGAAGACATGGTAAGAATACAGAGAATGATACAAAAAAAAGTCTTAATGATCCAGTAACCACAATGGTGTGGGCACTCACCGAGAGCCAGACCTCCTGGTGTATGAAGTCAAGTGGGCCTTAGGAAGCATTCAGTTCAGTTCAGTCGCTTAGTCTTCTATGACTTTTTGTGACCCCATGGACTGCAGCACACTAGGCTTCCTCATCTATCACCAACTCCCAGAGCTTACTCAAACTCATCTCAATTGAGTCGGGATGCC